GATTATTTAATCATTAATTAATATTTCATTAATAATTAAGTAATTCGCAAATTTTATAATTTAATAAATTTTTTTTAGTTTGATGCTTTTTTATTTCATCGATTATTTTTGAATTGTTAAGTAATGAGCATTATATTTAATAAACGTCATATGGTCACAATTATCCATATTCTGGGAATTTGCGAAAGTGTCTACTCAATTAGAAATTTAACTATCCCAACTGGGATATTAAGTACATCTAGGTAAGTTTGCACTAAACTAAGTGCATGTTCTAACCAGATAAAAGTTCAAACCGCGAGTCTAGATAAGTTATTTAGTTGCCTTACATCGCAGATTTGATAAATGAGTTATTGCATCAATATGCGAACAGATTGCCATAGAAACCGTGATGAAATAAAAGAAAGCTCATAATAAAAAACGTAATAAGCACGTGAGTAAACAGATCACGTGATTTCGAGAGTGAAATTCTAAACCTGCTAAATGATAGTGTGAAATTATAATCAGCTTTTAAAATCCATGAAAATTAATATTCTTTTAAAGTTGTTTATAACCCTGAATAATAACCCTGAGATTAAACTTGATTCAATAATTGTGGTTAACGTGATTAAACTTTACAATATTCTGATATATCTTGCATATGTGTAACATAGTCGTCTTCATTTCTGCATATATAAATAAAACTTTTCATTTTTTTCCTGTACTTTTTCTCAAATATGTTTTTTTGTGAAATAATACAAAAAATACTTTTTTTAATTTCTAATATATATATATATATATATATTAATCGAAGCAATTTTTGTATTATTTTTTTTAAATAAATTTAGAGGGATATTGCCTTATCATGATCTTCCACGTCAACCACAATCGCCACGGGGACAAATAGATTTTAAACTTGCAATTTTTTTTTTTTTAAAAACGCATATAGTGGTTAATCACTACATTGCTCATACTCTCTTTTCCCGCGGTCGGTAAAAATGTACAATTCCGTTAGTACATAATTTGAATTGTTCAATTTTCTTTAATTTTGCAATAAATACTCTATTATAATGAATAAAATTTACGAAAAAAATTTTTGTCTTCTGTTTTTTATTAGAAGTATAATTCATTAACTACTAATCAAACACTAAAATACAATAGTATGCTTAAAACTAACAATAAGATATTTTTTTTATATTTCTTTTAAAATCAAACATCTTATATACAAGGTATTCAGTAACGACCTCCTTTCATATGTATTTTAAGGATTTTTGTCACAAGAAAAAGTAGAAAGCTATCAAAATTTATTGAATCATCAGACATTCAAATTTATAGGACGAGAAACACTGAAACCCGTTTTACTGCCGAAGGAAACGATAAAAGATTTAAAAGACAATAACTTGAAACACCACCAATTTGCATCGAGCAATCAAACTGTTTTTGACGTTTTTCAATCCGTCTTTCTCACTCTTCGACTCTTACTAAAATTTTAATTAGCACCTTCTAATATGTATGATAGAGTATGAGCTCGGACTCGCTTTTGTAGGTCCGAGCCCTTATAATTTAAATCCAATCCCGAGATACATAGGATTACTTAGAACCCGAGATATACGTCGGTTAAAGCCCAAATTTTGTGGTCTTTGTTTAAACAATGGATTTAGTACATTAAGAACTTTTCTTAAACTAAGACTTGTGAAAGAAAAAGCGAAGAGAAAAACTGAACGAACTAAAACTACAAGATAACAAAAATTAAAAAAGAAAATCAAAATTATAAGTTAATTAAAAGTCATTTGACAATTAATGCTAGCCTCATAAAGCAAATGCACTGAACAGAAATAGCAATAATATTATAGAAGTAACTTTTAAATTTTTTATACTCGATAACTGAAACAAACTTTTTTTTTTAAGGTTGTAAAAAAGTTTATGAAAATTTTATCATGAATCTGAGCCCGCCCCCAACACGAAACGAGCCTGCGTCTGGCTCTGGCTGAGCCTGTCTCATCCCTAATATATGACTTCACCTGTACTTGTACTTTTTTGACTTCATTTTTGTCAAGGATTTTAAAAATGCTTATTACAAATTATCATCATAGTTGACCAGACAGCCCAATGTGAGCCAATGCCTTCCTCTGAAGATTTCTCCATGACGTCTTCCGATTTATCTTTGATCTCCAATTCTTTTCATTAATAACGAGAAAAATTATTACGAAATTCATTTATTACGAATCACATGATAATTTTTGTTCGTATAATAAAATATAAAATCAACAAGTAATTTCAAGTTTTTATAACTAAGTGATATATGTGTTTTTCATTAATATAGTAGAACACTAAGACGATACCCTCACGATATCTTATACTTCTCAAAAGCTAAAATGGTAATAAATCCTTTGAAAATTATTTTTAAATAAAATTTTGTAAAATATAGGAAAGTGATTTTGTTTTTTCTAGTTAACCTAGTTTTTCTTATTTTTTGTCACAATTTTGGCATCTAATTTTCGCCTTTTTTTTCTCGAGCTATTTGCAGTCTATTTTCATTGTTGTTACATTTGTTTTTCTTCATATATCACAGAAGCTCGCGTTTTAGTCTCGATGTTCGCCTACATATTCGCCTCAATACCTAGAAAACTGTCTTGGAATTTAAGCTTTCGACAAAATATGAGGAAATGCTTTTTTCCTGGAAACGGAGTTTAGTTATCGATTTTTAACTAACACATTGTTTGGGTTTTGGTGAATACGGTTTTCAGCTGAGTTAGAAATAACGATTTTAAAGGAGAATATCAAATAAATAAGAAGTATAATGTCTACATTTATCAATGTAAGTGAGAAATAATGATTTTATAAAATACTATTAAATAAATAAGAAGTAGAATGTCTACATTTATCAATGTTTGTGAGAAATAATAAATAAATAAATAAAAATGTAAGCTAAGAAGTAGAATCTTGTTCACCGGTCTAGGTGAGAACAAATGATCTAAAACAAAAAATATTAATTATCAATTTACTTGATATTTACTAATGTCGATGTTTGTTAATAATATTTATTAAAAATGATTATTGAAAATTGTTTATAAGTTAAGGCAGATTACCTCTAGATTATATACATACTCGAATTCCTTTATCACTTTAGCCATGTTTTAGCTCTGTAATAGTATAAATCTGCAGTTCCTACTGTGGTAAAAAAATTATAATAAAACAGAATGTTTACATAAGATATGTATTTTACGTGATCCTTTGTTTGTCTTATTGTATTATTCTTGCGAGACTTTTTTATTATTTTTTTCTTCAAGGTTTTTAGCATTGTTTTGGTTGAAATTATCGAGAATAATAAGGATCTGTCTCTGATGTCCAATTTGCGGTAATCTGCCTTTTAAAATGCGAACCTGGATTTTAGCGAAATCTTTTTATTTTTAAAGTTAACGTGTCTTTAAATTCGCCGTAAAATAGTCATAAAGTCTTGTTACAATTATCGAATAACCTGAGTCATTTTTTATAAAAATAAAAAATTATGATAAGTGGAAAAAATGGTCCTAATTTTTATTAACAAAAAACCAAACTTCAAAGAATGCCTGAGAATAATGTCTTAGTTAAATCAATTTCAAAGAGTTTGAATGCTATCCCTCCTGCCTTCCTCAGTAATAATGTTTTAAATTTAGATAGCGTTTTTGTCTCTCCCTCGTTTGAGTATTAATTTCGGACACATGTGCGAAGAATACGACTTCAACCACACACTTGTCACAGCCCGTTTTACAAGTGAGGACCATAATACTACATTCATTCATCATCATATTCGTACAATGTCACTCAAACAACTAAACTCTTGTAAAAAAAGTTGATTTATTCAAATATTGTCCCACTGCTCTAAAAATCATTGTAATTGAGTTTATATATCATTTTACCGATTTTTGTAAGAATTTGAATTAGTTTTCAAGTTTTTCAATTGCCAACTACTTCAAAATCATTTTTGTGGAAATCGTATGAAGATCATGCAATCTTGTATTAGAAGATTGAGAAATACATAAAAAAGAAGTACCATGTCGGAAAACTTTTTAAAATAAATTAAACTTGTCGCTTGATTCAAAAGGATCATGCCTTAAATAACAATTTAGATTGCCCCTATTGAATGTATTTTCACATTTTAGAACATGGTTTTGGATGTAAAAATCGTCTTATTATCTTCTAACTTCCTTGAAAATCGACTTTTTCTTGAAGAACATCAGTTTTAGTTAAATGTCATAAATATTGCTATATTCTCTTATTCTTGACCTTGAGTGAATATGGCGTCCTACTTTTAGGGAGGCTTTTAATTTTTAGCTTTGGAAAATGTCTATGTTTTATGAAATCGTCTGCAATTTTTGAAACGAAATATTTTAATTTTTTTTCTTTCTTTTCTGTGGTTTACAAACGTACCGAACAACGAGTCGTCGTTTTAGTCGTCTGCGATTTTTTTTTAAAGGAACTATTAAATTTTTTTCTTCCTTTTTTTTCTGAATTTCACAAACCTGTGGAATAATGATTCACATTTGTAATCGTCTGCGATTTACTTAAAGGAAATATTTTACAATTTTTTTTTCTTTTCTATGTTTCACAACTTATCGCGACTATGATTCACATTTCTAACAGAAACCCTCGTTTTTACAGTTTCTTTATTAAATGAATTGCTCTGTAAATAGAAACATCGTAATATTGTATTTTGATGGTGAAGCAATATGCAGTTAATAAACAGTTGAGTTCATATCATTAGAAATTTAATTTCAAATTTTATTGCGTTTATTGTTTCTCCCAGTGTGTATCGTATAATACACCGGTGTTAAAAATTAAGTGAATTATCATATCTATCCGGAACTATTGGACACATTTTAAAGAAATTTAATTTGTACGTATTTTTTTATAATACAAAATAAATTGTAATAATAAAAGTATTCAACGCAGCTTTAACACCAGTTTTGATTCCTGTCAATTGTTGTGTATTGTGTAGTAAAACTTATTTAGGTAATTAACTGTTTATTTCTTTTCTTCTGTAGGATCCCATGTCCCATCGAATAATAGAGAAGCGGCGGCGGGACAGGATGAATAACTGTCTCGCCGACCTGAGTCGACTTGTTCCCACCAACTATCTAAAAAAGGTACCAATTTCAATTATTTGTCTTTGTTGTTGCAGTTTTTAATGACACTTGGACAATCCAAGCTAACAAGCCTGACGAATTAAGTCAGGAATGAGCGCCTTTCGTTTTACTAGAGAACACCACAAGGGTGAACCCTTTATTATAATTGGAGAACTTAAAAAATAATCTTAATTGGTAAATTATAAATGTGTAGGATTGTCTTTGCTGTTTTGTAGAATCAGTGAATAAATATCTTTTATTTAAAAAGCTATTATTTTTATTTTCGTGTATTTTTTCTATTTTACAAAATCCAAGCTTACTTAATTCTTTATAGTATTCCATTCTTACTTTCTTTACTTACACATCAGAACTAATATTTTTTTAATTTTTAAATTGATTTGATGATTTTTGAAAACGTGTGTCGTTGTATAAAAAATAAATATTTAAAAAAAAGTTCATAATTATTGCATCACTACTTCTCAGACATTTAAGAGAAAGAAAGTTATATTTTGTTTAAACTTTATTTTCAGGGCCGCGGCCGGATAGAAAAAACTGAAATCATTGAAATGGCTATTAAACATCTGAAGCATCTTCAAAACCATCCTTGTAATGATCCAAGTAAGTAATAAATTAATTATAAAAGATATTATATTAACTTCTATTCATATACGATAAATCAAATAACGTTCGGAAGAAACGCAGTCAATCGCAGATTGTTTATGTAATAAAAAAAAATTAGTTACGTTTGGTTTCATTTATATAAGATTTCAAACTGTATTATTAAAGAATACGATATATGAGATTTTAATGTTATATTTCATTCGAGATAGAACGCGACTATCAATGCTCACCTCCCAACAATTTAACCCGGTTGATTCATATCACACCAATCACGGTAAAGACATACAATATCTTCAATAATGGATATGGGTTATAATTCCTTTGTCGTCGGGTTAACCGTGAAAGGTTCTCATGATTTTCCCATTCATGCAACGTCAAAATACAGATTATTTACACCAAAATGCATTTCACGCAGGCAAAAGTTTGTTCCAATGCTTAAAGCAAGAGTTCTTGTCTTCTGGATTGGATTTAGTAGTTAAGGCTTCTAAATTCAACATTGTCTGTTGCAGATCTGGAATGATTCATGGCTTAGAGAGCTCGATTTTCATGGTTTTTTCTTTATATTTCTTAGCATGGGAAGCAAAACGAATTTTCCTGCTTTATTTTCAAAATAATTTGTTCCATTTTATATTCCATTAACGGCGGTGAAAAGCCAACCTAATTTCGAGTTTACGACTATCAATGTTCACCTCCATATCCTTGTAATTTTGACCCCAACCCAGAAGACCAAGGAACTCCTGCATCAAGCATTGGAACAAACTAGCCTTTGGGGAGAACTTTTTGATGGAAAAAACCTGCATTTGCGTCCTTCCACGGTTAGCCGGACGGCAAAGTGACTTCAGCACATGATTTTGAATTTACTACTAACCAATCTTTAATTTACTTCTACCAATTTTCAACTCAGTAGCCTTGTAATTTTGACTCCAATTCAAAAGACAAGGGAACTTCTGGTTTAAGTATTGGGAGAAATTTGTTTCCACATTTTTGATTGGAAAACCCTCGCATTTACGTTACATGATGAGAAAAAACCACGGAAACTCCCCACTGTAAGCTGACGGCTATGGAATTCTAACCCATGATCCGTCTGCCACTGAGGATATTTTACGTCAGCACTGTGGTAGATGCGAGCCAGGAGAGTTCGTATCAACGAGCCACCGCTAGGATTCGAACCTGGGTTACGTCATTGGGAGGCGAATTCAAAATCCCCTGAGCCAGCACGGCTCTGTTTCACTTTTATAAGGGTTTTACGTTTGTTTGTTTTTTTTGTTGAAGGCAAAAGTTAATTAGTTTGGAACATTTTATTTACAGAATTTAATATGATAAGACCACGCGATTATTTTATTGTATTTTTTATTTCTTTCTTTATATAGATGGTACTTACTTTATGTTTGCTAAACGGTTATTGAATTTTTTTTTTAGATAACTGTGAAGTTGCTAGAACGACCGAATCGGATCACAAGAGACAATATAAGTCTGGTTACAGTGAATGCTTGAATGAGGCTGTTAAATATGTCTCAGACAACGAAGGAATGTTCTCCTCAACTCTTGTTGGAAGAATGTCTGAACATCTTATAAAACACTTTGAGAAATTAGGAGGAGGAGGTAAGAATTTTTTATGTTCTTTTTTACTATCATAATATTAGCAGCGCACACAATAGGCTGTAACCGCTACGGTCGTTAATGTTTTTATTTTTTTTAAATAAAAAATAGCGAGTATAAATAACTCATTACGTATCTAATTTTATTATTTGATTAACTTTAAAATCTTACCATCGCTAAATTTTGCCCGTTACATCGTAGCTGTTATATTTGATATAATTTTAGAAATTGCAGCATCACCCCTTGAGAAGACAAGAGCCAAAATTTATAATTTTTTTTTTCAAATAACGATAACGAAAATTAGTTTTTAAATTTATGCGTTAGCGCTTGAAAATTAAGGTTAATGCCAGCAGAAATGCTTTCAATTGTTTAAATCTACTAATCCCCAACACTCTTTTACACTGTTGGCGTCATAACGTTCGCTCTTTTGGCGCTTGAAAATTGTTACCAAAAATAAGACTTTATAACATTGACTCTGCCTGCTTTCCTCCAATTTTGCTATTCTCACAACGTTGAAATGAAACAAGTTTTATAATAATTAATACTGAATTATAATGAAGTTTTAGTTAAATGTGAAACTTTAGTTCTACTATACATTTTCGTCAGTGTTTTTAATTTTTACCTAGTGAAATTTTAATGCAATTTTTTGGAGAAATTATTTCCACTTATACATATATATTCTTACAGGCCTGTTATACACGAAAGCATTGGGTATTGTGTTACCAGAGGATTCTAAACCAGCTATTCATATGGAAGTAGACAACCATTCTAACTCATGCTATCTACCGGATCCCGTTATAAATCTACCACCTCACAATGGTCACCCCTTCTCTTATGAACATCGGAATTCGGAAGTTCCTGAAATGAAGCAAGAAATGGAGTTCAACGGCCATCTTTCATCTCCCCAATCCCTTACGCCCATCAAAGCAACCAGTCAGCTTCGTGAAATGCTTCAAAATCCTGGCGTACCCCTCAAAGACTCTCTAAAACCCAACCCCAGGAGCTGCAACGGTACTCCCGCACCAGTACCATCACCCATGTCCCAACCCGTATCAGTAGTGGTCCCACCAGACCATCATAACGAGGTTCCTAAGCAAGAGGAAGGGTACTACAAATTTAAGAACAATATTAAGCACAGGTTCAACAATGACATTCGACACCACACGTCTTCACCAACAGACAGCCATCATTCTGATCGAATGTCTCTTCCAGACGAAGATCATAATAACAATAAATTACATGTGCCAGAGCCTTATCCCTTGCGTCCGTGCCATCCGGCACAATCACCGGATGAAAGACTTGTGCCTAATGGCTTGTGCAATGGCAATTCAAATACAGGCCATGCTTTCTCACCTTATTCCAGTAACCGCTTATCTTCTGAACTTACAGTCAAAATACCTGAAAGGACTATGCACCCAGAAAACGGCGCACTTCCTTCCTCTTACGGTACGCAACACTGGGACTCGCAAGCCGAAACTGCCAGCAGTTGTGGTTCAAATCCCAGTCCTCCACCTAATGCGAGTCGCTCAAATGGCAGCAGTTCGGGCTACAGCACAAATGGCGAAAACAACTCGAGTTCCAGTTTGCACAAACCTCATAATGGCACGCTTTCGCCGACATTGTCACCCTATTCCCGCACTCCAGACCGATTGTCAAATAGATCTCCCAGCCCAATTCAGAGCGGGGTGCCCATTTTTGCTCTTCACCCTAAAGGTACATTTTACATTCCATTGACAATCGAATCATCAATTTTAGTTCCTTACTTGGCTGGAGTTGATGATCTCACACCTGTATTGCATCCTATTAGTATTTGTGTAAATTTAAGCAACAATTCTGTGAAAGTGGAAAAACTGAACGATACTGCTCCACACCATTACAGATCATCCTTTTTAATGAGCAAGTACCAAGAAAGGTACGTGTTTCCTGAAAGGCCTGTATATTACCCATGCCCCACCAGTCCCCCGAGAAATACGTGCTCCTAAAGGATTTGTGAGTCTTGATTGCTTTATCCAAAAATAAAACTTTTGAAGTACTATTTTTTATGATAAAGACAAATTGTTATTTGACGAGATTAGTGGAAGAACATATTAAACAGCATTTTTGGAAGCAAGCGATTTCTAATGGAAAAGTTCTTTTGTGAATATTTTCTTCTTTTCTTTCCGTTTTTAACTGCAACTGGTTTCCTAATACTCACTCAACATATTCTTCCACTAAACTTTTCAGTTGTATTAGTTAATTGACGAGATCAGTGGAAGAACATATTAAACCGCATTTTTGGAAGCAAACGATTTCTAATGGAGAAAACTTTTTGAGAATAGTTTTTTCTTTTTCCTTTTCTTTCCGTTTTTGCCCTTTCTGCAACTGTTTTCCCCATACTCATTTAACATGTCCTTCCACTAAGCTTTTCAGATGTACTTGTTAATTGACTGAATTGTTAAGTTTAGTGGAAGAACGTCTTCAAGTCTCATACAAAGTGCATTTTTTGGTTGTCTGCAAATAAAGAACATTCATTTAATCAAAGCAGTTATCATTGGATGAGAGATGTTTTGTGAATCTAATGTTTTTGCTCATTCTACAACTGGTTTACACACTAACTTGCTTAGCATGTTCTTCCACTAAGCTCTACTCTTCTATGTGTTGAAAATATTATTAGTTTAGTGTTTAATAAGCAAAATTCACTTATTAAACCAAATTTATTTAAAAGGATTTGAATGCTTTTTGTGATATGGACTGCATAGATCAAGAGAAAGTTGTTGAAATGCACGTGTTTATTTTTAAAATTCTGTGATAAAAAAAAAAATCGAAACCGTTTTGAAAAGAAAATCTGCATAGTAATCAAACTTACTTTGTTATAAATGTATATTTAAATTTGTCAATTAATCTTTCGCGAAGTTGCAGAATAATTTATCTAAATAAAATAATTTCGTGATTCAATTGATACCAAAAAAATTTATCTTAAAATTTAAAATTTTTCGAAATCTTAATTGTAGAAAGTATATATATATAAAGCATAAAATTAGTATTTTATAAAATTGCTATTTGAAAAGGAGCTTATATTAAAAATAGTTCTAAATATTAATATTTATTGAAGAGAATTTTATGAAAGAAGTATTGTACCATACATGATTGAGACAAATCAAAGACAATTATCCTTTATTTCATTTGATTAACAAACAGCTTTAGATTGCTTTTTATGAATACATATTTTGGCTTTATTAATAGAATGCCAGGATTTATCTGCCATGATAAGAATCTTCCAAAAGTTGGTTACTAAATCATTAGTGCTTGGCGACATCAGAATTTTAATATTGTCATATAATATCTGAATATATCGATTTTTACGATTCAGTTAATATTTACATTATTTTCACATTGGACCATTCTTGCGTTACCCAAATGAAATTTATTTACGTTTACGATAAATATTGTATTCTATAATTGTTTCATTGATAACAATTGCGATATTATGGCACTCGATATTTATCGTTATCATAATGATCTCGTTATTATCGTTGTTAATTATTATTGTTTATATTGTTATTATTGATACAGTAAGACATGATATTCACTATATATCATGAGAATACATTTTAAAATATCGTTATCGCTATCTTTAAAAAATATCAATAATTCACCATTTATCGCCCAGTATTAATGATTTATTACGCACGCAGTTATTAATAAATATTGCTTACTTTTTTGTCAGTACTAATGATTAAGTTATCTGCTAATGCGGAATTAATTACTACATTTGAAAATTATGTATTTTCTTTCTTTTGCAAGTTGAGTAATAAAATGTTATCGTTCTTAAATTGTATGAAGATAACCTTAGTAGTGAGAGGATTGAGTTCTAACCTTAGTAGTGAGAGGATTGAGTTCTGTTACTGAGAGAAAAAGCTATTGTAAGTGCCTCTGGGAAGCCAACATTTGCACTGAAAATACACATACTGGTTTTATGTGTAACACTTATTGTATCAATTTATTGCTAAATGTCATGTTTATTGTATAATAAAGTTGTATGTTCACGAAATTTGTAAAAAAAATCATTGTTACAATAAAAAAAGGAAGAAATCTTACTTTTATTTGTTTATTTTTTATACTGTTTATGCGTGGTGTTCCGTTTTGACCGCCCTTAATGCGTATTTTTAGAATTCTTGTCGAAAATGAAGTTAAATTAATATGCACATTGAGGATCGCAAATTATTATTTAAGTGAATAAAAAAACAAACACGTTGTCTAATCGCTAATGAATGAAAAACATCAAAATTAGTTTTATTGCCTGATGAAATGTCATAGAGGTGTTTCCCACCAGCCATCAAGTTTTGTTCTTTCACCTAATTAATAATTAGGTAAAAGAACAAAAATGTTCTCAAACTTGGACTTACCACTTTTGAACACAATGTAGAAAAATTATTCAAAATAAAAAATATCCGTTTATAAGTTGTGCGTTAATCCGTTAAAAGTTGTCCTCGAATTCCTTACCCAGACTTTAAAGAAATGTAGGGTTCATCATAAGGAGTGACTGACAAATGCATAGCGACCCGTAATCGGAAGTATCATACGCTGCTTAGGAGACCGGTTCGGATTTCACATTAAAGATTCAGGTTTAAAGTTAAAAGATTCTGGATGTTAAGGTCCCGCAGTGGATAGATCGTTAAGACACGGTTCGCAGCAGATCACCGAAGTCAAGCATCACTGGCTACGGTCAGTGTGCGGGTGGGTAACCACTTGGATCAGTCTGCGTAGGGACCGAGGGTGTGCGGTATTGGTCCTCGTTAAACTGTGCTACCGTAAAGTGCTCAACTTCGCGCACGTCGTCGGGCTACCGAAGCGGGGGAGCCATCCCCTCCGCAGAAGATCAAAATTGTGATGGCATGTCTTCGGATCATCCTCCGGGATGTTTCCCAGACTGTCGCCAATAGCCCTTTGTGCAGCTCTAGTGCGACGTAAATTAACAACAACAACAACTGGATATTAAGGAAGATGAATCCGCCAAACTTGATGCGGTTTAATTAAACGCGGTTACTTCCATTCGGTTCACTTTAATATTGATGGTTGTTGTCGAAAATTACATTCAAATAGGCACACGTATAAAAGTTTCTTTGTAACTAAATGATTTGGTAACCAATTAACCTAAACCACGAAATTATGACGATACAGAATGTATTATGAAGATATTTTTGGGCTTTATTTGAATAAATTGTCGACAATTATGTTAAGCTAGGTAGGCACTTCAATTATGTCGCACTAGAGCTGCACAATGAGCATTTGGCGACGGTCTGGGAAACATACATGAGCATGATCCAAGGACACGCCATTGCAATTTTGATCCTCTGCAGAGAGGGTGGCTTCCCTGTTTTCGTAGCCCGACGAACAGCACGCGAAGTCGAGCACTTAAAGGTAGAACAAGGACCGATACCGCGCAACCTAGGTCCCTAAGCAGTTGATCAAAGTGATCACCCACCCGCTTACTGACCGCTGCCAGTGATGTTTGACTTCGGTGTTCTACTGGGAACCGTGTCTTTACGATCGGTCCATTGCGGGACCAATTATGTTGAGAAAACTGCAAAAAGTTTCAGTTCGAATGCGCATTCGCAGCCAGTCTTTAAACGACCCCAGCGGCGTTCAATCATGGATTGCTACGCAACTCTCATGATCTACCTCTTCTTAAAGTTTGGCTTACAAATTCAGGGTCACCCTTTATATTAGATGACGCTTGATTGCGGTTCCTAGCAAAAGACAAATGAAAAAAAATTCCGATGATTTTATTTCTTCAAGTCTTCAAAAACCAGATTTTAATAATAAATTATCAGTGATATTTCCAGTTAGTGTTAGTTATATCACTGAATTTTATGTACAAGTGTTCCGTAATTACCACCCCTATAAATCAATTTTAGAATCTTTCTCAAAAAATGTACTAATTGGAGATGAAAATGTTTAAATTGTTTAAATTAAAGAAAAGGGGGAAAAAACTATCGAAAACTCTGTAAAATAAGTAGTGATGAAGGCGGGAAGAAAACAACAAAATCGGTTTGATTGTTTATAGAGACTTGGTTGTGTTTCTGATTATTAACTTCCAACTCAGACAATACATAAAATTACGAAATCGGAAACAACTCGGGTACTTTCTAATGCATAAACATTCTTCTTGTCGAGGATTCGAATTTTTGACTCTCAAAATTGGGGCAGCCTTTATTTGATCAAAGAGCACAATAAAATCACTTTAATTTTCTTCTGTGTGTGAGTATTGCTAACATTTTATGAATTCTTTACTTTTTGTACCGAGGAGTTCATTTGAATCTGGTTTCATTTCAAAGAATGGTTTTCATCATTTTTAAAATGTCCATTTTCCAAACAGGTGTAAAGATATTTTTCGGAAACTGTTCATTTGGAATCATCTGTAGAACATTTGAGATAAATTTTTTTTATATTTTTCACAACAGCGTTCATTTGATAGTGATTTCATAAGAAAGAAGGGGAAAAGGGAGATTAATTCAATTTTGTCATTAACTGACAAAATCTATGGAAAATGACAAAGGGTGGTAAATTTACAAATTTTGCATATTATTTCTGCACCGCAATATTTATTTGAAAGAGGTTTCTTATGAAAGAATTGGCGCTTTATTCACTAAATATGTCAATTATGCCATAATATTTTTAAAAGTATAATTTTTTATAGCCACAAGTATAAAGGCTAATAATTCCTGCACTAATAAATGAAGGTAGTATTTTTTTTTATTCCATTATACTCTTTGTACAATTATTATTACACAAGTTCGTAATTCTAAGTTTCTAACGACAAGTTTTATTTACGGCGCATACTGAATTCGCGACTCGCTTTATAGATTTCGTTTCATGTTTTATTCTGCTTTTTCTTTATATTTTATTTTCCGTTTTTACGTGTTATTTTTATTTTTACTTAATGTGTTCTATTTTATTTGTCGTAAATTTTTTTGTAAAATCCTCACACTATTGTATTGATATAATTTGCTTTGGCTATATTGATACAATATTAGATAGCACTCCTTTTTGCGGATATAATCGTGTGAGCTGACGAAAAGATTATATCTTTTATTTACGGTATTTTATAAATTTTTTTTCCTTTTTTTCGGATTTTTTTTCCGGTTTCTAATTATTTTTATTATTAATTTTCCTCCCAACCCCCCTTTTTTTTGATAAGGAGAGAAGATGGATACCTTTATGAATTTTTTTTTTTTTTGAAAGAAAAATATTCTTAAAGGTATCCATTATGTAAATTTAATAGTTGTCATTATAAAGGTATATAAAATTAATAGTTGTCATTAGATTTTGAGCCCTTGACTACCTCTTAATCATTCNATTTTAACTGTCGTAAATTTTTTTGTAAAATCCTCACACTATTGTATTGATATAATTTGCTTTGGCTATATTGATACAATATTAGATAGCACTCCTTTTTGCGGATATAATCGTGTGAGCTGAAGAAAAGATTATATATTTTATTTACCGAATTTTATATTTTTTTCTTCCTTTTTTTCGGATTTTTTTCCCGGTTTCTAATTACTTTTATTATTAATTTTCTTCCCAACCCCCCTTTTTTTTTGGTAAAGAGAGAAGATGGATACCTTTATGAATTTGTTTTTGAAAGAAAAATATTCATAAAGGTATCCATTATGTAAATTTAATAGTTGTCATTATAAAGGTATATAAAATTAATAGTTGTTATTAGATTTTGAGCCCTTGACTACCTCTTAATCATTCCTACAAAACTTAGCTTGAGGTATCGAAGTAAATACGCTAAATTTGAATCAAGCTTTGGCAATAAAGATTAGTAATGTAAAGATAAAGGTTAATAATAAAGATTTTACGCGAATCAGCTGGAAATATGAAAACAAGCATTTCTTATAAATAATGCTTTTGGAAAATTATTTGCTCTGATAAATCCAAATTCAAGAATCACACCGGATTTGTGATTCATTATTTATATATATATATTTTTAAAATTGAACTTATATGAAAAAATAGGCATAGTATTTTTCAAAAACATTTAAATTAAAATCAAATTATCCAAAATAATTTTTTCAGAATTTTGAAAAAAATTTTAATTATATCCAACGACAGTTCGCAGCTATGAACACGGGTCTTTCCCTGCCATATTAATGAATACTGAATCTAATTTATGCTTATTAGCAAGAAGCAAGCATAGAAATCATTAGCAGCATTAGTTTTCCTAAAAAAAGAAGAAAAAAAAACTGAAAATATTAATGGACTAGCCAAAGAACGCCTTCTCAATAATCTATTCAGGAGGTTTGGAGTATAAAATTCGGTTTGGGATACATGTAGGCAAGGGTATATAATAAATTTGATTTGAATTAACTAAGTTTGGACATTTGTTGATAACTGCTAATATTTTGTACCAATACTGGCTAAAAGAGAAATTCTAATTTTTGAAACAAATAATGCTAAATATACATGAAAATTAAGAATTAAAGTTTAAGTTTTCCTTAAATGTTCAATGTCAAAAATCGCGTTTATGCCGTATTTCGTGTATGTCAATTTTTCTCCCACTTTTTCTTTTCTCTCTCTCTCTCTCTTTTTCCTTTTTTTTCTTCTTTTTCTTTCTTCCTTCCTTTCTTCTTTTCTTTTTTCTGTTTAAAAAAAACAAGCTGATCAGATGCTTTAAGCATAGTAGGGGAAAAAGAAAGAGCTTAATAATTAAACTGTTATGGACATTAAATGACATAAAAATGAAACTATATTACATATTATTGTAATATACAGGGTATCTCGTAAATATTGCAACAAACTTCTGGAGGAAGTAGGGCACATCATAAGGATTAAGAATTAATTACTCAAAACCATGACGGGAAATGTCATCTTACGCTGATAGGGGCGCTTTCTTATTTTGGACATGTTGTTCATGTTCCTTTGAACTTGCAGTTTTATTTTTCTAAAATATTTTAATTTCATGTTAATTTTATGTTACTATTAGTTATTGTCGAGAATTGGGTATACTATAGCCTACGTCACAGGAGTGTTATTTCTACTAAATTTAACCCATGAACGGCATTTTATGTGAGCCTAACTTCAAGCCACAAATAAACAAACGAAGTGTTTGATCGTTTAAATAGCTGCTCGCCAGATTTTATTGCATTATAAAGAAAAGTAATTGATATTCGATTTTTGATTAATAATTGATTTATGTGGATAGTGGCATTTATGTGGATAGTGGCATAGAATTTAGCATTGCGTCATGGTAAATGTTATTCCTACTAATTGGAAGTAGTTGTGTTTTTTTTATATTATACCCAATTCAATTAAGATAGGTTCAGAAATGCTGTTCAGTCGTAATTTAATGATTATGCGAGCTTGTCCAGTTAGTCACTGAATCATTAAATTACGATAAAATAGCTAATATTGTACCTATTCGAGAGCAGTTTTCAAAAATAATTAATAGAAAACAAAAAAGTAAGATAATTTAGATAATAAGAATTCCCGATGTTTAAAGACACACGATATATAACAATTCATTATAGCGATAAAGCTCCCCGACTTAACAATTTCAGGCATGGTTTCCTATGTAATTCTCAATCCATACTATGTACCGTACTTCCCCTGGAAGTTTGTCGCAACATTTACAGCCCCCCCCCCCAGAATGTTAACAGTCCTTATAGTGCCGATTCGAAAGAATCGTATAGTAATGAGAACTTGATTGGAGAGTTTTTCAAGGAGGAATATTTCTCACCAATCTGGTTCTCATTTGTATGTGAAAAAATCTAAAGCAAGAGGAACAGTCTTTAAAATACAACTGCAACTACAGTCACTCGAAATTTTTTTTTCGAGTGACTGTAACTAAATTTATCATGACTCGCGCATTCACCTGTAATAATATTCTATGCAGTGAGAACGGTCTCTAAAAAGTAGTTATTCAGTGATGTTTAAACTGAAAGTATTCTATATGGTCAAATTTCTAACAGTTAAGTAGTGTACTGAAATATAAAACTGGCAATGACGGTCTAAGAGGCGCGAAATTTTTGTTTACTTTCCGAGTTTTCTCTCATTTGATATTGGTCTATTTCTATTTAATTAAAATGAAAATAAAAACTGAACCATTATCCCCATCAAAGTCAGATCTTCCAGCAATGTAATTATCTCTTTATTTTAGTTAATATACACATACCTGTACTATTCTTTAAGTTACATTTTTTTTATGTAAACATTATAATTATTCTGCTGTTGTTTTTAACAAGTTTTTCTTTTAGTATTTAACAGTTCCATAAATTTAGTTAAATATTCTGCATTTGTAAATAATGTATTTAATTGAAAGTGAGTATTTTTAATTGGTAAAAATGTTTATGATAACCATACCTAGTTTATGTCAATTACCTACGTATATTTTTGAAACCGTATATGGACGAAAATTTTTTAATCTAATAAGAAACTATATATTCTATTTATGGTCTTCTATTCTTACGGAGTTCGAGAGTAAATTTCTTTAGCATATAAATATTGAAAATATTCTGTATTTGAATTCGAGAAATGGGTGAAGAAAAATTAAATTAATAGAACAAAAATGTTGTATTCCAGCATAATCTGGGGGAGATTTTCAACTTCCGCTCAGCGTTGCGTGAGAAACGAAAAAAAAGAAAAAAAAACGGAAAGGGACCAACTCCAAAGTCATAACTCGTAGTCGCCTCTAATCAAATATCTACATGTTTTTTTAAAAAAAATTTGCACATTTAAAATCTATTTGGCACCTTGGCTATTACAGTTGGGTTGACATCACGATACGTAAATAAACCCGTAGTTTTTATGTCTTCATGGGGATATTTCCATATTGGTACCTGTTCCTGCCACCTACAATCACCAAGACAACAAAGGGACTTGCAAACTTTTTTTAAAAATATGAAGAGACTTTCCTGAGAAAACTTTTGAATTTGTCCCTTCTCTTTGATTTGTCCCTTTTTTTTTATGGGTCCCTTGTTTTTCTTGTCTGGAAGTTGATATTACTTTGGTGATGGTACTGATGCAGACGTTTTCTCTTTTTCGTAATAAATTTTACTTAGCATAGCAACTAATTCTTGTCACCTAAACAAAAATTGACATTGGTAGCTTTGCTAAGATGTTGATATACAAATTAATGTTTATTCATGAACAAAAAATGACTATGGCGAAAACCATTCTATTCATTAAAAATAATTTGAAAAGTTTTGAGAATGACTAAAAAGGAAGACTATCAGAATAATTAATAAAAATGCATTATTTTATTTTCATATTAATGTAGATACGTTCCTTTTAGAATAGCATATTAAAGGTAAAAATTTTTTAAAAAAGAGATATAGTACTCTATTATTAACTTATTAGTTAATTAGTACGAGATGCATCCAGAAAGTAAGTTTCCCTAATTTAAGAAAAGAAAAAAAAGAACTCACACTTTCTGGAACATATTTATTGGCGACAAGTACAGCAATACTTCAGCTATTTTTCAACGTAGTCACCACCAGAATTGAGTCACTTGTTGTATCGTGGGATCAACTTTTGTATCCCGCTGTCGTAGAACTCTACCACCTGTGAATGGAACCAGCGTGTGGCAGATGTCTACCGTTACTGTAGAACACTGCGGAAATTGTGACGTGCCATTCAAAACAAGAGTTGTGGAATGCTTACTGCAGGTGTTGCGCTCCTCCATGACATGCTTATCCACCTAAGGCACAACGCACAGCAGCTGTTGTGACCAAATTCGGCTGGGAGTTGTTTGATCATCCACCCTACAGCCCTGATATTGCTCCCAGCGATTTTCACATTTTCTTGCACCTCAAGAAATTCCTGTCCTCCACTGAGCGTTTTGGCAACAACGATGAGCTGAAGACGTCTGTCACACGCTGGTTCCATTCACAGACGGCAGAGTTCTACTACAGAGGGATAAAAATGTTGATCCCACGATACGACAAGTGTCTCAATTCTGGTGGTAACTTTGTTGAAAAATAGCTGAAACATTGCAATACTTGTTGCCAATAAATATGCTCCTGAAAGTGTGAGTTCTTTTTTTTTTAAAAATTAGGGAAACTTACTTTCTGAATGTGCCTTGTAGTTAAGTATAGTTAGTTCTTTATTGCAAATTTTTTAAGATATTTTTTAAATTGATTTTATTCATTTAATCTGTATGTTTTTTTTACAGAAATCTTTCTAATTGTTGTAATGTTTATGAAGCATAAAATTATTTTTTTACAACATCCTTACTGAATGTTGCTGCAAAGGAAATTTTATTTCAGCAATGCGTCATTAGTATACCCATTATGCAATTTTATATTTTTATCTACAATATTTTAATCTTGTTATTTAATTATTATTTATCACATTATTTTAACTTGGTATTCTTAACTATTTTGTTTTAGATCTGATGAAGAAACTGAAGAAAAAGTGAAGAAACAGGTATTTTATGCCTTATAGTTCTATGCAATATAGTTCTCAATATCTATGCAATATAGTTTTATGCAATATGTATATCAATATTTTCCAAGTAAAGTAATGATCAGATAGGGGAAGTATGGAATCTGTTGATAAGTGAATAAACATTTTTAAGTTGTAGGAAAATATGTTGATTTGAATACGTACAGAAGATTTCCATATTGTGATCTGACGACTTTTAGAATCGCTGCTTGCAAAAATCTTTTAAAAAAATCATTGAAAGGGACCAACTCGCACCCTCCTGCAGGAAAAACTCTACACGCTTTAAAAAAAAATTAATTAAATTTTAAAATACATTTTGGCAATTGTAGATGGTGGTTGTGATCCATGCATCACAATATGGAATAATCTCCCATATGAAAGGCTTAGGGCACATTTTCAAATTGGTCAGCATAATATTTCTGTTGACAAAAAGATACATTCTCTTTATTTAGGTATTAAAATGGTTCCATGTGGTTTATTGTTATATTTTAAAAATATTGGCAACTTGTTAATATTGGCAAACAATATTAAGAAACAGTTTCAGATTAAAATGTTGCATTTGTCATTAAACCTTTTTTTATTAGCTGTGCATTTATATATTTGTTTACTATTCTCTAGAGGTAAAAATAATCATTTTCCTTGTTTGAGAAAGAAAGAACAAAGTATCGTACTCAGAACCAACTTTGTGAAATATTTTTTAGTGAAGAAAAATTTCATAATTTATATTTTATATTAAATCCAGTTTTTACAACTGTGAATTGAAGAGTTGTATTGTAATATGAATTCAAACAATTATATCCATTTTGTAGTTAAAAATTGGCAGTGGCGACTTCCACACTAAAAAATACTGTAATATAGAGCAATAGTTATCATTTTGTTTTGTTTTGAAATGAAAGTAAATATTGTTAAAAAAATAATTATTCTTTGTAAGTGTATTTGCTTAAGGCATACATGTTCATATTTTAATTTCCCTTAAATAGTTTGCATAATACTTAATTATAATTTTCTTTTTATTCTAGGAGGAAGGTGTAGACAATGGAAATTGTTCCTCTGAATCATCAGGTATGTGGAACATTTTGAGGGTTAAAGTGAATTATAATTTTTATATCTGCTATTTCTTAGAATTAAACATCGTTTGTACCTAATGTTGTTTTATAAAATATAATTTATTTATGTATACTTTTAGATAAAAGAACAACAGTAAAAGTTGCACAGTCTTCTCGAAAATCTAAAAAGGAAACAGGACAACAGCCTTCTATTTCTTCATTTTTTACCAAAATGTAATATTTTTATTAATATTCTCTGTGTTATTTATAACAAAAGATTGTTTATAATAATGAAAATTTCATTCTCTCTTAAAACAAGTTCAGTATTTTAATTTGCAATTTGTCACTGTGTTTCATAATGTTATAATTGTTATTTCATAATGTTATATGTTTTATATGTCACTCATCAGGGATCTGTCCAGGCCGAATTTTCTACCGTTTAGCGGTACCTTCACAAATTCAACTTTAGGAAAAACGGTAGTTTCAAAAATTCAATTTTAGGAAAAACGGTAGTTTAAAAAAATACTTTTTCTTACTATTTTATTTTTGTATCCCTTAAGAAACGATAAATCCATATTTTTACCATATTTTTGTGTTGATTTTTAAATATAAGTTTTAATTTTTCACAAATTATGTCTAAATTTTCACAAAATAGGTACCTCTCAGAAAAACCTAGACAGACCCCTGCTCATAATGTTTTAGTGTGTTTTCTCTTTTTAGTTACATTGAATTCAGTGGAATTCTATTCTTCAAAGCTGTATCCTTATTTTAAATTTTTCGTGGTTAGTTTCTTTCTTCCACATTGTCTTTTAGTTTTAAGTAAAAAAATTTTGACTTTTGTTTAGGCATCTTTATAGGTAAAAATTTTTTGTTAATGACTTCATTGCAGTAAATAAGACACACAAACCTTAACTAAAACTTATTGGATATATTTCAACATAATTGTATAATATAAATTTGAATAGAATTCTGGTTTCTATTTTTATTTTTGATGGTGGGATACACTGGAATGTTGATTACTTTGTGGATATTTTTACATGGTTGTATAATTTAAATTTGAATGGACATCTGGTTCTACCTTTTTATTTTTTATGCAATACACTGCAATGTGGATATTTATGTACAATTGTAGTATACAAATATGAATGGATATCTGATTTCTACCTTTTTGTTTTTAATGCAATACACTGCAGTGTTGATGCTGACATTAAAAATACATAGCATATTCATAAAAGGATTTCACTTTATCCTATATTTTTCCCTTGGGTTTCCATGGTAGTCAATACAAAAGTGATAGCAAAAATGAAAAAGAATAAAAGCTATTTTAGCATTTTTACTGCCACATTTTGTAACTTCAGAAAAGTGTTAATTTTGGACAATTATGTATGTTTCAAATTGTTTTAATTATCTTTGATATAATTGAACTTTTTACTTGGAACTTTAAAAAAAAATAGTATCTCTACAAGGTTTTGTATTGCGTTAATTCTTGGAAGTTCTTAAATATTTTAACTTTGGTACAATTAGAAAAAATTATTATCTCACTCTGTAATTTTGTTTGCTTTAAACAGATACATGCTTTTCAGTAATTTTTATAAATTTTTAAGGGTCAAAAGTTAGTTTTTCCCTCTATTAAAACTGTTGTATGTTGGTGGTGTCATGTCCGCGGAGGATCAAATATACCCATGGGCTGAAAGCACACTGGTGGAAATTTCTTTGGTAATCTTGTTCGAGTAGAGTCGCTCTACGTCAAAGGAAGCTAATTTCCCAAGGAGAGCCAGGGGTCATAAAATTGCAAGGCAGTCAATGCAATACACGGGTGTTGTATGTTAGTGAAAACTTGTATTTAAACTCATCAATATATTAAAATAAGCATTTTTGTGATTCACATGTTAGATTATTATATGTAATTTTTTTTTTTCAAAATAGCCTTGCATTTTACTAAAAGCAAACAATTAAATAATGTTTTCTATGTTATTTTGTATGCATTATCTAAAACATGTAAGTCATGTTTTTTCTTTGAGATTATTTTGTTATTTGTTCATTTTCTCTTGTTTGTAAATTTTTGGAAATTATTCATCTTTTTTTTCATTCTAATTTTTTTTATTTGTGAAAAGTTGGCTTCATTAATGTCATTACTTAAAGCATGAATTTCCAGTTTTGTTTTTATGTTATAATAAAAGTTCTCCAATCATTTTTACATGATGTATTAAAATCTTATGTATTTAAAATATTTTGTTTCTAATTTTTCTTTAATTGTTTTAATAAATGTTAATTTTATAGGCAAAACAAAAGAAAACTGGAAGAAGATGAGAATTCCAATTCCAATGGGCAATCAAAAAAATCTAAATCAAATGGTAAAGTGGAGGAAGATGACAAAAGGAAGGTGGAAAAAGATGAAAATTCCAATGGGCAATCAAAAAAATCTAAATCAAGTGACAAAGTGTATGTACCTAGTTTAGAAATTCCATTAGTAATAAAAAACTGTTTAGTTTTATTAAATAAAACAATTTATATGCGCAAAGAGTTTAATTTTAAACTCAACTGAAAGAGTGAAATTTATTTTTTGTGAGTGAATTAATGAAGTTTTTAGTGAAGAGTGAATTAATTTTAAACTCAACTGAAAATGGAGTAGAGGTATCACAATCTTTTATGTAATGAAGCATTATAAGTGTGGTGATGTTTGTAGCAAGACTAAGTCTGGAGTCTCTATTTGAGATACAAAATTAAATTTAATGCATTTAGAATTCTTTTTCTTTAGTTCAAATTCAATGTTTACGGCAAAAGGCTGAAAATGTTCAATTTCGTATAGGCACTATGTTTATATAGCTATTGTTTAAGAAATACCTTTTTTATGCAATCTGAAATTTTTTTTCAATATTTGCTGTGCGCTTTTAATTATTCAAACTAAAAGGGAAAGGTAAGAGAATTTAAAATAGCAAAAATATACTTTAATTAACCTTTGCATTACATTCTGTATTGATCTCACTTCAATTTTTCGATTCCCTTTTCCTAGGGGAATTTGTTTTTAATTTGTTGCTCTCCTAATATGTATATATCAGTATTTTTATTTTTCTATGAAATATCAAGACCAGAACATATTTTAATTTTATATATATAATATATATGTGACAAAAAATTATTATTTTTTAATCCAATAGAATGGCAAAGGGGTTCATTTGAAGTTATTTTACTTAATTATTTTTTAATTACTAGGTGTAATGATATTTCTTGATAGAATAAAAAATACTGCTACTACAAAACAACACTAATAAAAGAATTATCGAATTATTAATTTCTTTCTTGAAAAATATGAACAGAAAATAGTAGTGGAGTCCTTAATCAACTCCACTTTGCTCTGTAAAGGTTACTTTAGCATCACAAACAAATATTGACTACCTTGCATTACCATGAAAAGTTTGCTTTAAAAGAAAAATTATATCTCAATCGAATTGTTTTGGGTCAATTATTGAGTTATTACAACATTTTTTATCGTATCGAATGAATATATCATTGCCCATAATATTTGATAAAAAAGTGGTCCATTGTGTATACTATTTACACTGCTATTGATGTTAATGGAAAAAGCTTCTAAGTGCAGGAATTCAAAATAACAATAAATGGTAGTAAACTGAGATATTTAATATTAATAATAAAAATAAAACGTGACAATACTACATTTAAATGATAATCTAGAAGTTAGATATTATTATAGTAAATTAGAAATTTATTAACTCAATTTATTTATGTTTGGCCAGTAGTAATTTCATAAGTTCCATTTTCAAATTGTTTAGGAAAGTGTTTTTAGTAAAAAATAATTGGATATTTCTGTGTATTATTTATTATGTTGTTAGTAAGTATAAATGCAAATTGTACTGAAAACAGTACTAAGGGTCAATCTGATTTAAATATTTCGCTTTTGGAAAAAGTGTATCTTTTAACAATATGCTCCAATGCCCTTAAATAAGACTAATTTGCACTTTATGGTCATTTTATTCGGAACACACAGTGGTTGAAAGTAGCGCACTAGAAGTAGTAAAACTATTGTAGTCTCTACTTTTTTTCATAGTGTTGTGAGTGGTGTGATACAAAAAACCAGTAGTTTGTAGCGATTCCTGGCAACTACTTTTAACGTCAGTTTAAAAGAAACACGGTTCTAAGGCAACTAATTTTTCAAATTTGATGGGTACAAATCTGCGTGGGTCCATCAATTTATGAAAATTAGATAATTAATTTTTTGACCACACTTTCATATGCGAATGCACACTCATGAAGCATTAATGTTATTTTTAAAAAAACTGAACATATTTTCGATGTACTTAATTTCTTATGCATAAAAAGTTGAAGGTTAAATGAACAAATTCGAGAAAAAAAATTCTTTTGGAATAACAAACTTGTAAATGTGACAATCTACAATCTTGTAAATGTGAATACATATTTCTTAATTATTTCCTCATCTGTATAGTAAGCGAATTTCTTATTCTAAACCATTTTGGACATAGGCATTAATTAAGTTCTCCAGCAAAGTTCATCTCCTTTAAGATAGTGAAGTAATTACTACAATTCCAAAGTAGTTTGTAGTTACTACATTTAAAAAAAAAGTAATTGCTGTAAACTGCAAAAATAATGTAGTTTTTCCGACCACTTCCCACTGGTCTGAATAATACACACATGTTATTTAGCCACTTGAAAAAATTGTGTGATAACTGTTTGCTTAAAAGGATTTTAATAAGTTTTAAAATTAGTATAATGTTCCTATTTCATCTGAATCATATTTTAAATTAACACAAACTCAGTAGAAAGTTTTGATCAAAAATCAAATTTTAACAGGTATATGTATGGGAATTGATGCCAATTTTCATATGTTCATGAATTTTGTATATTTTACTATTCTAAACTATAGTTGAAGACAACATAAAATAAGGCTAGATTTCAGTCAATTTCAAGGGAAAATATTACAGTCAATTAAAATTTGTAATTCTTAGTGCAATACAGTTCTTGTATATACCTTTATTGATTGTAAAAATTCCTAATATACCCTTTATATGGTGGGCGCACAATAGTTTGCTAAAAAATCTTTATTTCTAATATCTACTAATAATTTTTTTATTTTATCTTGTGATGGTAACTAGTTATATAATTAAGCTTTAAATGCCTAGCTTATATTTTAAAATTGTTTTTCAGTTCAGTTAACTTTTGTTTAATCATGAATTTTCTTTTCTGTTTCATTTGAATTGTTTGACCTTCATATTGTTTCCTAGGTCAAATGGACAAAAAAGTTCATTGTTGCCTATGCGATGTCCAGATTGTAGACAGCATTTAGATGGTCCAGATTTAAAATTATATCCTGGTGACCCTGACGAGGCAGTAAGTTGCAATTTATATTCAAAAGAAGTTTAAATGCAAAAATTTCATTAAATAATTCCAATCATTAAATTGAGTGTTTTGTACTATAACTTGTTATATTAGTTAAAATAATTTTAAAGTAAAATGATGTGAAACAATAGTTATTGTTGTAATAAAAGGGTTCTAGAAGTGAAAATACTCCTCATAAAATTTTTGGATGAAATAATTAGTTTTTTTTCCTGGTGTTGAAGAAAGTTCCCTTAAAAGAATATCAATCAATGACAGTGTTATAATTACTCCTTTCATGTATTCTGGACATAAGCAATTGCTATTATTTTAACTCTGTTAAAAGCTGCAGCTGTTTTTGAAGGAAAAATTGCATGTTAAAATAAAATAAAATCTAAAAAGTTCTCAGTTTAAGCAATTTGATTATCTTTCCAGGTAGTTTAGCAAATCTCCCTTTTTTATGCTGTCAATAGAAGTGACGATTGTGACATAAATTATGAACATACTGTTAAATGCTTGGAACAAAAAAAAAGTGCCTGGAATTTTAAATTTCATATACGATTTAAAAAATTTTGTTGTTATTTTATTTATTTTTTTTTTGATTAATCTATTTATTCAAAAAATTGAGAAAAAAATAAAGTGGAATATTGAGAAAAAAAAAATTGGAAATAAAGTGGAATAATATTTTTCAGTTAAATATACAAGAAATAATTCTAGGATGTTCCCTCGTGTAATTTATCAGTTAATTATAACCTGTTTTAATCTTCATTTACATACTGTTAAATGGTCGAAATAAAGGAAAGTGCTTAAAATTTTAAATTTCATATACTTAATTAATAAATGTTGCTTTTTTAGAAAAATTATTCTATTTAACCGCTATATTGAGAAAAAGAATTGGAAATAATGTGGAATAACATTTTTTAGTTAAATATACAAGAAATAATTCTAAAATGTTCCCTCGTATATTTTGTCAGTTAATTATAACCTGTTTTATTAACTGGCTCTAATTTACTCTCATAATCTCTATTTTAAATGTCTCCCCACTCCCCAAAAACAAACTGGAGAGTGAAGTTACTCTCTAAAATTTTTCTTTGAGTAACACTAATGCATCATGTTTGCTAGGTACATAATTAGTAAATGTGTTATCTTTGCTGATTTATATTATGCCACACATTTTATTTTTAATGCATGTGATTTTTTATATAGCAAGAAGAGTTCATTATGTTAACTGCACCAATCCTATCACTCCATACTGAAGGTGATTACGACACTGTGGATGTTAATGAAAGAGTGCAGCATCGCATTACAAATTTCAGGTATGTATTTTTTCGTTAAATTGCAAGGTTGACCACTGATTTTTTTTCCCTCTCTTCAAAATGAATGTTTCATTTTTGTTTCAGTGTTTATGATAAGCACACACATCTTGTACCTTTTGATCAAGGCCTTATTGAGAAGAATGTTGAATTGTTCATTAGCGGTTATGTTAAACCAATTTTCGTAGAAGACCCATCTGATACACATGGTAAATATGTTATGATTTTAGTCTGCATAAATTTTACTTCCAAAATGAAGAATTTCGGATTGTTTTTTATTAGTTATGTGGAGTGGTCACAAAAACTATATATTTTTTTTGCAGTTAACTAAAACTACTTTTTTTCAAATGTGGTGACTACAAACTACTTTTGAGGCTCTACTTTTAAGAGGCTAATTTTGCTGATGAACTTTATTTACAATAAAGGTTTAAAATGGTTTTGAATAATAAATATAATGAATTATTATGATGTATTTATTCATGTTTACATGAGCCAGTTTTTCTAAACAATTTTTTACTAATTTGTTCTTTTAATTTACTATTTTTTATGCTTTTCTTGACCGTGAATACATAATTTAAGAAATGCTGAAAAATTATCAAATGTTTGCTATATTCTTCAACGTTTATTACTTTTTAATTTCTCGTAATAAATAAAATACTTTGAAAATTACGGAGCAAAATATGTTCCATTGTAATTACATTGTAATAATGTTTCACAAGTGTATAGTGCGAAAAATGAAAACGATATCACCCTAAATAACTTTCATTTTAATGATTGGATTTTCACGTACTAAGTGTGCATCTTAATAGATTTTAGGTATGTCTTTAAATATGCTAATCACTTAGTGCGAACTATCAATTGAATTACTAAATCAGACACAAAAAACATACGTTCTTTGTATAAACCTGTATTTATTTTTTAAGTATTTGGCTTCCTGATCCTCAAAATATAGAGAGTAGACAAAATTTCGAAAAAATTGGGTCATAAATTTGGGTGCTAGAAAGCTATATATATATTTGGCGTAGTCCCCAAAAATATCATAGAAGAAAGACTTCTTTATCTTCTATATTAATTATATTTCTAATATATTTTTATATCTTAACTATTTTAAGGTGGTGTGCTGGCACGAAACTTAGGACCAATCAATGAATGGTACGTTTCTGGTTTTGATGGTGGTAGCAAAGCACTCATTGGATTGGGAACAGGTAAATTTAATTGAGATTTATTCTATATAGTTAATAACTTTTGGTTTATTTAATTTCTAATTCTGTAATCATTATTTTACATTAATTCATATTTCTGCTAAGTATTTGTTGCAAAATATATTATTCATATTCATTCTTTTGAAAGATTTTGCTGAATATATTCTGCTGAATCCAAGTGAACTCTATGCTCCTTATATGAATGCTGTTCAAGAGAAAATATATCTGAGCAAGTGTGTTATTGAATGCCTTATAGAAAATAATGAGGCTAGTTATGAAGACTTATTGAACAAGTTAGAGGTATGGAAACTATAAATTATCTATGCCTTTTAGTTACATTTTATGCTCTGAGAAGTAATTACAGTAAATGAATAACAAACAAAACAAAATAGGTTCTCTCCACATCGAGACACTTTCCTGTCATTAAAGTCATCCTAATATGCTTTCTCCTGTGTGTTTTCTAGCGAAGCGGTTTTCAATTTTTCTCGGCTATGGAATTTTAAAAAATCGTCCTTCTTTCGGCTGAACCCCGACTTTATAAATAAAGTATCTAAAGATAGTGGTTAAAATATTAATCAATGAGAAACTATATTTTGAAAATATTTATAAGAGATAGAGTGTTTGCCTTCCAATGAGGTGATCCTGGTTCTAATCTCACCTATAGCTGATCGAAACGAATTCCAAACCTAGATCACACTGATCGAGCTGCTGATGTAAAATATATTTAGTGGTTGATGAATCATGGTTTAGACTCCTTTTTCCAACATACTAACTGTGCGAGGTTTTCATGGTTTTCCTGTCCATGTAAGTTCAGCGGACAAAAAGTCCTCCACAAAGGCAATTTTTCCCCAATACTTGATCCGGAAAATGCCTTCATATTGTTGTCTGGATTGGGTTCAAAATTACAAGGCTTAAGATATAATACCTGGTTGGTAGGGCACTGGGCCCATGTTCAAGAGTTCGTGGGTTCAATTCCAGCCGGCTGAAGACTCCCCGTGTAGTAAATGGTGACTGGTGCATGTTGAATCTATCGAGTCGCAAAGTCCTCCAGGTTCCCATAACAAATCAATACCTCAGGGGATACTGATCCAGGAGTTTTCTTGTCTTCTGTAGTGGGTTCAAAATTACAAGGCTACTGAATTGAGCATTAGTAGTCTTAAACCCAAAAAAATTGGGTCAGCTGTTCAAAGACGGATATAAGGCTTAAGAGATGAACATTAGTAGTCGTAAGCTCAAAATATGGTTGGCTGTTTAACAACAGCTATAAAATAAGAGGGAAGACATTTTTTTATTGTTTTATAACATATAACCTTAAATTAGGTTTTATGTCCGACGGCTAAATTAGCAGTTCCAGTGCTGAATCTTGTCTAGTTCCTAATTTGTGTTTAGTGTATATTAGTTGAAAATAAATAACACAGCTGAATTATGGTTTTTGCTGAAATAAAAACTAAAAAGAACTTCTATTAACTTCGAAAATGGTTATTAAGGAAACATCTTTTTTTTCAGAGAATTAAAATTCATTAATCTTATTTTTGAAATTAATCTTGAATTGAGCTATGGGGCAATTTTTCTATAAATTCATGTTTTCATAATGTATTTGATATATTATTGTTAGAAAAATTATATTTTTTCAATAGTGTCTTTTCCATTGCTGTCTTTTCAAATAATTGCATAAAGACAATAAAATATTAAATGCATAATGGATTATTGATTAGATAAAAATATGATTACAGGTTTCAGAAATTATGAAGAAAACAAGTTAATAAAAAAGAGTCTTATCGTAGGCTCTAGGCTGTATAAGCAAGTTACAAGTACCTAGAAAGTCATGAAAAGTCATGGATTTCGGTATTGAACAAAATTTGTTATGAAATGTCATGATTTTAACTATTTTTTTAAAAAAAAGTCATAGATTTAGGTCGCCGAAAAATCTAATTTTTAAAATGGAATTTGCCCCCATCCACCCAATTTCATGGTGTTTCGAATATCTGAATTTGTAACAAAATTCCCACTCACTGTCATATTTGAGTAAAATATAAAATGTTTTTATCGTGTTCTTTAAAAATAATAGTGTTCTTTAAAAATATGAAAGACAAAACATAATTTCAGAGATCATTAGAGCAAATTATCTTTTAAACTTCTGTGATTTCAGAATTTTTGTTATTTTTTAAATTTTATTTTATCAATTTAAAATTCTAGCTGAAGCAAGCCAGTCATTGGCAAATTTTTTTATTCCGAAATGAGAACAGAAATATCAGGAGTATTTCTTTTCTTTCCGATGAACAAGAAAAGTATCTTTAGAATGTAATTCTGCAGAAAAAATAAATTATTTGCTTTTGTATTTTTTTTTATAGATATTTTATTGCTTCTACTCTTTACTCTGTTTTTTGAATTTAAAATCTATAAATATGAAGATGCAGAGTATAACAGTTTTGGTTATACCTATCATTTCAATGAATGTTATTTATAATGCTTTTTTTAATTTATTGTTATGTTTTTGTCGGAGAAAATAGTAACTTCGTTAAGTCATGACAAATTCTTGGAATTAGTCATGGAAAGTCATGAATTTGAAAATCTAAAATGTAGCAGGTACCCTGTATAAGCTATTAATATGAAAGTTGTGCTTAATATGACTTATAATTTTTTTTCAGATTACTTATTTTAATATAAACAATTAAAAAAAATGTTTTTTTTTCTTGTAGTATTTTTCTACTTATCTTTTAATTCAATTTTAATTTTGACTGTTTGCTATAAATATTTTCCATTAGAATACTGTCCCACCCCAAGGCATTTCAACATTCTCTGAGGATTCTCTCCTGCGCCACGCCCAATTCATTGTGGATCAAATTGAAAGTTATGATTCAGCTGCTAATGAATATGATCCAATTCTTATCGTTTCTCCTGCAATAAGAGCTTTGATAGAGTTATCAGGAATAACACTAGGAAAACAGTAAGTAAAACTTCATTCACTTGTGAGTGTCTTAATTGATCGATTTATTATTTTAAATTTTGAACTTATCTTCAGTTTTAGCACTAGGTTGATATCAATTATTAAGTTAAAAACAGATAAGATGAAGTTCACTGCTAAGAAATTTTGGACTATGATTTACCTACTATTTATATCTCTAAACAAATTATTACATTATCACTTATTATTAAGATAATTGAAATATAATTAAGCATCTCATACAGTTTATTTAAGAAAATAATAAAAACAGTAGCAAGTAAATGTTTAAAAACATTTTATTTCTTTAGATACTTATGTTATAGTTTCATTTTCAAAGTGAAAACAGTATTAAGAAGTAATTGTCAATGTTATATACTATTATCACTAAAGCCCGGATTTTGATGACATTTGCATTTTTGGACATTTTTTGTCCTTTAGAGCAATTTTTTAGATTTATAGGTCATTTTTTTTAAATTTTGGGGCATATTTTGCATTTTAAAGCATTTTTTAAGTTTTTTGTTAATTTTTCAAATTTTTATTATCTTTTGGGGCATTTTTATTGCATGAAATGCAAGATTTGTCTTATAATTTGTCTTGATTCAGAAGATGCTGCATCAATTAAGATATCGCAAAACGTGTTGGCCTCTGATAAAATAGAAGGATACTTAGCATTTATTAAGTCTAACTTTGCTATTGTGTCCTCGACAATTACAAGCTTGGAGAAACAAGAATTGGAACTTTGCGATGCAATAAATTATATTGACGTAGTGAGTCAAGTGTTGGAAAAAGCAAGGGGAAAGATAGCACAAAGTGTAGCAGCTAAATTGAGAAAAGTTTTGGAGAAGGACACTGGCTTCCAAACAATGAAGAAAATCTCTAGGATATTAACAGGTGAAGCAACATGTTTTCAAATTGAAGAAAAATTGACAGTAAGTGAAACTGTCTTTTTCAAGTACGCACCAATAACATCAGTAGACGTTGAAGGAAGCTTCTCCAGGTATAAAAATTTACTTTCAGACAAGAGACGCTCGTTTACATTTCAAAATATCAAAATTCATTTAATAATCCAATGTAATACTGATATTTATTAATATTATGAGATGGAAGTTGTTATATTCATTAAAGTTTCTATACAAAGTGAAAATGTTTTGAGTCAATACATTTTCCTTTTTTTTGTTATTTTAGGATATAAAACATATTTTTCAAACTTAAATAAACGTAGAACAAGTATTGCATTGCTTTATATTTTTTGAAATGACTCATAATAATTTTAAAGAGTAAAACATTATTTTAGTTCAATATTTTTACTTTATTGAAGTCATGTCATAAGGCATTTTTAGCGCAATTTTCGCATTTTTAGAGCATTTTTTGCACTTTTTAAGAGCATTTTTTGCACTTTTTAAGGGCATTAGTTGAGATTTTTTAGGTCATCAAAATTTCAACTCATTAAAATTTCGAATTGAGTGTAACACACCTCAATAATAACTTATGTTTAAGTGTTAAAAAATTTTCATGATTTTTTTTTCGAAAAATAAATCAAAACAAGAAATTTTAGCATTGAATTATTATTTTTATATAATATTATACTTTTAATTCTACACTAACTTTACAGCACTCTACGACAGGGAATCTTTAAACTGTGATTCACAGGCCACTTACAACCAATATAGTAATTTTATGAAGTGACTTCCTCCCTCTTAACTAATCACGGATTTTGAGCAGCAATTTATACAATAATTAAATCTGAAACATGAGCAATGGGGAAATGTATTTTCTGTCCCTTAGGAATAGACATTTTCTCCTCTTTGCTTCTATTCTTGTCTCTGCAAACAATACCATAATTGTTGCACATTTATTATTATAGGTAGTGAAAAAGTTAATGGAATTAAATTGAAATTGTAAATAATTTTTTCTTCTCAAAAATAACATCAAGAAATAAAATCTTTTTTTCTGCACAAATTGTTTCTAAATTTATTAGTGTCTTATTCAATGCAATATAATATATGGAAAAACAGCCCTTTCATCAGGCAAAATGGCCCCTATGGGTAAAAAATTTCTCACCTCTGCTGTAAAAGGTGAACTCTAGACATGTTAACTGCTATACTCAGAAGAAAGTGTCGCACAGCTTGAGATGAAATCATGTATCTACAGTAAAATAAGATAAAAGAATTTTATCAAACTCTTCTCTGTCATCCAGCAACCTAAGGAAATTTCATAAAATTTCTCCGGATAATCAATTGAATAATTAGATAAAATTTCCCTAAAACACAACAAAGTGTTTTCTTGTCAGTTCGTTAAGCACCAGTTGATGACCAATATTATAGGCGTTTTATGCTTGCTTATGGCTTTTTCTTCTTCTTTCTTCTCTTCCCCCTTTGGGTTTTATTTATTTTGGTAATTATTATCTTTTTAATAAAAAAATAAATTTCTACGGACAATAGGCAAGATAAAATTGTTGATCACAATTTTAAATCTTTCAATAATTATTAATGTAATTTAATCTTGTTATAAAGTCTCATGCTATTATTATTTTTCCTTTGTATAATGAAGTTACATATTTTTTGTCAGACATCGTATAAAGATACCAACTCAAGGTCGAATAGCTAAAGCAAAGAAGCCTGTCCATACATTAGCTACTACAACACCACTTGTACATAGTATATTTGAAATGTTTTTTACTGGTCAACTGGAGGATGATAAAAAAAACAGTGCTCCTCGAAGAAAAAGATGTGGAGTTTGTGAAGTAGGCTTCTTTTTATTTATTGAAAGTATAAATGTTTCAAATTACAAATAATGATTGAGACGCATGTTATAAATATTTTAGCAGGGTTTCAAAATACCAACTTACCCAGTAAAACCTGTCCTATAGTGGGTTTTTCTAAAATTGATTTCTTTTTTATCCTCTGTTATATTAAAGAGCTATTCTATTGAAATATATATGTAGTCTAGCCTAAAAAAATGAACCTGTGGTGAAAAAACTGTTTGGAGACTGGAGAGTCACCTTGCTGGCTAGATTTGACTAGTTGGCCATTGATTAGTCAGTGCCTTTGATTCGCTTTGTATGCAAAAAAAAAAATTCCTTATTTTTTAAGATTAAAATATAAATATAAAGTAATACTGTGTTAAAAAAAGTTTTAAATATGTGATGTATATGAGTACATATAACATTTTGTATCGTGATGTCAGACGAAACTTTTTCAGACTTTGACACCAATTTATTTGTATTAATTGCACTTTAATTACCTATATGTAAAGTTAATTCATAAAATTAAACTTAATTATTAATATTAAAATAAGCTTTTTTTTAAATAAGGTACTTATCCCTGCCCTCTCTTTTGAATAAAACCCCAATAAAACATCAAAGGATGATAAAACTCTCCCGGGTTAGGTTTTTCTGGAAATATAGTAGAGCGCCGATTATCCAAACCCTTATTATCGAAACTGTGTCTGAATTCGTTTTTTTTTTTTTCAAGTTAAGAATACTTTTTAACCTATCGACAATTTTTCTATATTGAGAAGAATAAATAATACCTCCTACATCTGAAGACCATATTTAATTTACAACCTTTTTAGCAGTTTTCTTATAGTTGGCATACTTGCATGTATTGTGATACAGTTAAACCTACATACCCCTTTAGCCCTTTACAACAGAAAATTATCTTCCATGAATGCAAGCTTCATTTTGATAGTCTACAATGGTTGGAATGCAGAAGGAGTTTATGAATTGATAAGTTCTGAAGTTCTATAATTGGGGAATGGGTAGTTGTAACTTATGGTTGATAATTAGTGATTACAGTGCTTGGAATCTTAAATCTTGGAATTAAATTCTTAACAGAAAAACAAACGAAACTAAAGTTTCTGAACCAATAGATCTTTCGGATGAAAATGATGAAATTGTTGCTGAAATTTTGAATGAAAATCGGAACTCTACAGACGAAGTGAAAGAAGTAGGTGATCAAGTTCGAGATAGTGGACATTCTCATATAGAAGCATGCAATCCATTAGATTTCGCAATGAATTGGCGAGAACGTCAAAATGATGTTGATCCAGTTCAGTTGATTTATTTAAAAAGAATAAGGGATGAATGGCTGCTAAAAAAACCATAGGGATAAATGGCTGCTAAAAAAATGGGTCTTCTTTGAAACAAGATCTTTGCTGGATTTCTTTTGCAATGGAAAATAATAAAAAATGTTTTAAAATCAGGAATTGACAAAAAAATTATAAAAAGCTGAAATATGATAAAAATAATTCAAAATGAAAAAAGAAAAGAAAAAAATTTAGTTAAAAATATTTAAAAATTGAAAAGGGAAAAAATTTTAAACACGCCAGATCTATTTTAGATAGTACTGCCAGTCCTGAACCTACAAAAGGTGCGAAGGGAAGTTAATGCATAAATAATAATCATTTACACTAGATTTTAAACAACTTTCCAATTATCCGAACATTGTACAATCCCGAGCAGTTCGGATAATCGGCGCTCTACTGTACCTGTTTTTTTTGCAACCCTGTGTTTAAGTGATTTATAATTTTAGTGCTGGATACTAAGGATTGGTTTAGTGGAGAAATATAGTTAAGATTATATAATTTGTATTTTTAATTTGGAATAGTATTAAGGAATATCAATGTTTTGATTCACTAATGTAAATACCAATAATTTACTTATATGTATTATTATTTTTTTTTTTTACATTGAGTGTGTGTCAGTATTTTAGTTGTTGTATCTGTATCACTATCAATTGTTTTTTTAAAATTTTTTTATAATAAGTTTTTGTGTTTTTCTAGGCTTGTCAACTTCCAGATTGTGGGAAATGTAACTTCTGTCGGGATATGGTGAAATTTGGTGGAAGCGGTAGAGGAAAACAAGCATGTGCTCTCAGACGGTAAGTCTGTTTAATGTTTTTTAAGAAAATTAAAACTTTTTTATATAAGTGTAAAACAATTGATAAACCAGTGGGCTGAAGTAGTGCAATACAAGTAGTGAAACTACTGTAGTGGCTACTTTTTTCCATAGTTTGTAGTGTAGTGTGCTATTTTTTTAAAAAAGTAGTGTAATGAGTAGTGGGATACAAAAAAAAAAGAAGTTTGTAGTGATTCCTGGCAACTACTATTAATATTTGCTTAGAAAAGAAAAACGATTCTAATGCAATAAATTTTTCGGATCTGTTGGGTACAAATCGTTGCAGATCTGTCAATGGATGCAATGAAATTGACTCTGCTGCTGCAACTGAGCTTTAACAGAAATGACGTGTTTGAAATGACGTGTAATTAATATTTAAACTAGCCATTATGAATTAATCCCTTAGGTCACACTTTCACACGCGAATGCACACTTCCAAAACACTGATGTTATTTCAAAGAAATTCAACATATTTTTGATGTACTTAATTTCTTAGAGGAAATATAAAAACATTAAACTATAAAAGATTGCAATTATTTTATAATTTTGCCTTTCTTAAATTGAATATTCGCTGTCAAGAAAGGCATAAAAGTTGGAGGTTAAATGAACCAATTCAAAAAACAAAAAGAAATGTTTTGGAATAATGTTTCTTGTAAACATGAATAAATAATTCTTAGTTATTCTCTTATATATAATATAAGCCAATTTCTTATTCAAAACCATTTTGATAATAGGTATAAATTAAGTTCTCTAACAAATTTCGTTTCCTTGAAGTAGTTACTACAATTCCAAAGTAGTTTGTGGTCACTAAATTTTAAAAAAAAGTAGATGTTGTTAACTACATTTGTATCAAAGTAGTTGTAGTTGTTTTAAAATGCAAAAATAATGTAGTTTTTCTGACCCCCTGAGTTAGACAACCACTGGTGCATTATTTCTATTTTTCGGCAAAAATTGTTAAACACCCTCTTTTTCTTATCAGTAATTTGTTATAGTTTGGTTGCATTTTTGATTTTTCCTCACTTATAAATTTTAGCCAAAGATTCTAATTATGAAAATATTAAGGATGATTATTATGAAATACTCTCTCTATATATATATTGTCATTAGTAAAAATGTTTTAAAAACCGATATAATTTTCAAAAAGTAAACATGGTAATGAGTGAAATGAAAGTTATACAAGTAAATTGTTGTTGAAAAAGTGAAATTAATATTTCAATCATAATTTTGGTGAATCATGGGAGTTTGATAATAATAGTTTGATATAATATTTCTTGAATGATAATATATTTTAATAATATAAAAGCTTCATTTAATTGATTTTGGGTTAAATTATTTTAAATTTTTTTAAGCTATATTAACTGATTATTAGAAAAGGACTTACAACAAGATATAAGTAGTAAACAAACAATTTTTTTTAAAAAACAGCTATTTTTGTCTTACTGAGAAATTTTTAATAATACATTTTTATAATAATTTTAAAAAAAAAATCCAAACTTCAACACAATTCTATTTTAAATAGTTGTCCTAATATGGCTGTTCAAGAAGCTAATGAGGATGATATTTTAACAGATAACTTAGAAGATGAAATGGATAAGGTATATGCTAGTTTTCATTATTTTTTATGCAATTTATATTCAATATATACTATTTTATAGTTAGATTTATTTTTATCAATGTATTTATTTGAATGTACTTTTTAATATGACTTTAATTCAAAATATGCTTGTTTTATGTAAGTTTTTTTAAAAATTTTTATTTGATGTAATCATTATTAATAATGCATTACAGAAAGCTACCTCAACTGTAAATGGAACTAGCTCACGAAAAGGAACTTCTGTTACTTCCAAAGTAATTTTTTTTTTCTCAAGTTGTTTGATTTTATGTTGATTTTATTTGTAATTATATAATGTTTCTTTGCTAATGTTAGTTTAATTTCAGTTTGACGTTAGTTGGATTGGTAAGTCTTCCTTTGAAGCAGAATCAAGAAAGTATTATTTTGAAGCTAAGATCAATGATTTCACAGTAAGTTTTATTTAACAATTTAGAGTTTATTTTGTAAACATATTTAGAGTTCATTTTGAAAGTCAACATAGATATGTATAATGGGAATGATTTTTCATGCAATAACTAGAATTTTTACTAATCTGTTACATGTTTTTTAACAAGAGCATCAATGTAAATAATTTTTTTCTTGTTAAAATTAATGTTATTTGTTTTATTTTGCTTTTAAGTTGTATTTCTTCAAATAAATTAATTATCAGATAAACTTTTCTAAAAAAAAATACAGTAGTTAAACTTATTTTGTTTGTGAATAACTTAACTAATATATAATTCTATTTATTTTTTAAAAAATAAAAGCGTTGAATTTGTTTTTCATCAGTTTAGAAGCATCAAAAAATTGGGGATGTTTGTTAGATCTCAATTTAGCTCAATGTCTTATTTTTATCTCGATGTCTTATTGTCTCATTACTTAAAATTTTGGCAAAAAACATTAGGTTAAAAGCAAATAGTTATCACACAATTTTTTATGTGCTCCAAATAGCGTGTATGCAAACAAAGCGTGTGTGTGTATGTAGTGTGTTTGAATTTCTAATTTATTATGATATATGCCATATTGTGATCATTGGAAAAAAGTACTTCTACTCAGTTATTTTTTAGTACTAACTATAAGTACAATTTTATATATTTTTTTTAAAAATTTGAGTTATATCAAGTTATCTTTCTTGTGAACTTCCATATATTTTATCTTTTATAGTTACTACGATAAATAGTTATTGCAATCAATATTGTAACATCAACAGTGCATATATATCTAAACCTATATAGTCTTCAGAGCCAGTATGCACGAGATTTTCCCTAATACACACCACTTTTGCAGACCTGCCAACTTTTAATCCCTTCCATTATCATTTTTCCCAGTGGTATTAAAATGGAATTAAAACTTCAATTTTAAGCAAGCAAATGTGCTGTATTTGAAAAAAATTAAGTTGACATCCATGATAGTAATGCATATTAATATATAAGCTTAATTTTTGTAAGAATAGTGGTGATCAAAATCATTTAAAAATTTAATTTATAAAAGAAAAAATAGTATATATTTACTACCACTTTAAATATGAAAATAAAATCTCCCGCAAAATGCGGGAGAGTTGGCAGGTATGCTTTTGCTATAAATATTAATCAAGCATATGCTAAAAAGCAACATGTTCTAACAAATCAAACTTTCAAAATATTAATACTATGCAGAAGAATTTTATAATAGTTTAATAGTTTTAAAGGAAAAAAAAGAGAAAGAGTGAGTTAGTTTTGAAACCGTTCTATAAATCTGTGCTAGTTATAGCTAGCTTTTCTTTTGATTAATGACGTAACGAATTCTAAATTTTGTAATTTTGTTTATTCTAAATTTCACAATAAACAAAAAGCGTTAAATTTTTTCATTATTTATCTAAAACTTCAATTTTTAATTAGCTAATTTATTCACTTTTTTCATTAGTTGTATAAATTATAAATTCTACTTTTGTTATAAACCCACTGATTTATTCATTATTTAAATTAAATTGAATATAAATTTACTTTTATTATAAACTCACTGATTTATTCATATCTTTCATTAATCAAATTGAATATAAATCCACTGATTTATTTCTCCCCTCCATTTATTCAGCTAAAACTAGGAGACTTCGTTTTCGTAACACCTTCAGAGCCCAGCACTCCTATGTTTATTGGTAAAGTCTTATCTATGTTCGAAACACCATCTGGGAAGAAGAAATGTCATGCAATGTGGTTTGAGTAAGTATTATTCTTTCAATTTTTTTTGTTTGAGTGGACAATCCCTTTCTTTACAAAACTTTACAGTCAGGGAAAAAGATTAATTTGCTTGTAATAGTTTTTACTTAATTTTTAAAAGCAAACTATTGATAGCTATTTCTCTTACTTGCCAGTATCTTTCAAACATGCGAATGAAATACAATATCATCTTATAAGAAGGTTTTCATGATTTTGAAAAAATACTTGAATTTGTTGATTTTAATTTTTAAACTCTCTGACCCTGTGCGAGCCTGAAGTGTGCTTGCATAATACTAATTCTTAGCTGTTGACTCTCTTGAAAAAATGGTGCGACTCCCGAATTTTTGGAGAAATTTGACTTTATTATTCTTATTCAAGAGGAGAGAAGCAAAAATACTTTAGAATGCATTCGTTATTAAAGAATCCGGGAGGACAAAACAAATGTAATGAGACTATGCCTAGTCTATTGATGTCTAGTCTAATGTCTAGTGAGCTGCATAAATTGCTTGTATTGCAGCTTAAAAACTCTTTAGTTACAGATGTCGGCAATACAAGCAATAAAATATATTTTATTGTATCATATTTTAATAAAAAATTCTCTAATTGAAAATGGATTGTTGTTTGATCCAAATTAACTTAATTTTTATTCAATGAAGCCTTAGTTTTTAGTAAGTTACAACTTTGAATTTATAGATTTAAAAAGTTTATTAGAAAAAGTGAAATATTGATTCTTTTAGTTTGAAAAAAACTAAGTCTGTATGTATAAAGTAAATACATGTGATGTATTTATAAAAATTCAGTTCAGATAGAATTTAAAATTATTTAAGTTTTAAATATAGTATGCTGTAATTTGCCATTTTCTTGGCTTAATTTGGAGTCCCTAGTTGCCTCAAAAATTCTCCTATATATTATAACTGCCAAATTCCCTATTTTTGTACTTCCTACTTCAGTAGAGAACCATTTATCCGGTATCCAGATAACCGGGAAACGAGAAAACCGTGAAAAATTTTGCTCGATGTTCCCGCCATTTTAAACTAGAACGATTATGAAAAAAAAAAGCGGAAATTGGACTCATCCTTGAAGTTGAGTAGAGGAAAATGTGAGGAAGGGGAGAATTTTCCCCCCGTTTACCCAGAGAAACGTCATTTCCTCCATGACCTTGAAGATCAAGAGGAGGCAGGGAAGGAAGGAATGTTTTATTTTCTTCTTTAGGCCGTCAATAAAACTCAAGGGTGTGGCATGCTGGTTTTTCTTTTCTGTTTAGTTTACGAGGTGGTGGGGAAAATGCATTGCATGCATATCAGTGAACAGAAGATGAAAGAGAAAAACATATTTATCTATTTGACATCGATTAATAAAAATAAAATCTTTTTCTTTTGAATAAATTCTCATTCTTTGGAAGTGCGGTATCAATTGCAAGTTTTTCTTGGTGTGGAATCACATCTGCTGTAATTAAAAATCTTGTTTTTATCAACAAAAAAAATAAAATAAAAGGAGAATTGTTTATTAATTTAAACATAGGATTATTTTATGAAGCAGATTACAGTTTTGTTTTTCTGATTCCACTACGTTTGATTTTTTTTCTTTTCGCGATAAATTTCGCACTCAAGAAATTAATTCTTTTTATTCATAAATTTTATCATTAGGTTTTTATTATTATTATTTTTTTTGAATTCCGTTGATCTTGCGTTGTTCCGGGTTTTAATATTAATGCTAGTGCCTTTTTTAACTATCGTTTCGGTTCGATAATTTTCAAGTGTTTTTATTTAGATTAATAAGTTTTCCTTTTATTTTATCGTTTCCCCCCGTATAATTAGGTATGAAATATATTGCGTTATTTAATCATTGGTTTTGTTTATATTAGTTAATTTAGGAATTGTAATTATTTTTAAAAAATAAGTATGAGAATTTTGTATTTTTTAAACTTGTTTTTCTTGTCTAAACTTGCAAATTTTTGTATTCTTTTAAATGTTATTTTTCTACAATTTTTTTTTTCTTTTTAAATTTAGGAGTGCCTTTCTTTTTTCTCTTACTTTATGCATTACACTTTTCCCTTGTAATTTGGGTTCGATAAAACATCGATTAACGACGCTTTTTGGTCAATCCAGAAAACTGGGAAATTCAGACATCCGGGATAGCGATGGTCCCGAGCATCCCGGATAATTGGTTCCCTACTGTATCATTTTTGTACTTAGTTTGTTACTTTTTTGCAACTAGGTGTATTTTTTTCCTCAATGTTAGCAGGTATACAAAATATAACCATCGTTCGCAGGTATACAAAATATAGAGCAATTCCCAAATGCTTATTGCTCTAATATTTAGGGTAGTGTCTGGTTACATTGTATTGAAACCATTGTATTTGAACTTTCTTTTCTTGAAAGAAGTAATAGGTTAATACCCAGATGTTTATCACTTAGAGAGTTAAGACATTGACATTAAAAAAAAGAATCCGAATTGCATAATAAATATTTAGGGTAACCAACAGAAAAAGTACATTCATTGATCATCATAAAATTAATTTTATACTTTTATCAATCTCAATTATAATTTTATACTTTAATTCAAACTAAATGATTTTAGCTTCTGGTCATAGTAAGATCAAAACATATCTGCACACACAATCCAAAAGTATCTGCAAGCTCATCATATTTTTGATAATAGAATAATTTCCTTAAATATACGAAAACAGTTAACTATTTAATATTTTTATTTATTCTTGACAAAAAAGTATATATATATACATGCACATTAACATTAAGAACGTAAAAACACCAGCTGATAGTAGGGTCGACCGCTAACGATAGGATTGCTAATCTTTGGTCTCAATTGGCAGTTATATCTTTTCTCTTTGGGAGCAGCAATATACAACTAAAGATTGATTTTCTCCTACCTTGCATAAATAATGATTATGCTATCTGCTTCGTATTTTCTTTTCCCTTCATTGCAAACTTTTTTTTGCTTGTGCAGATACTTTTTTTATATTACAATAAATATTAAAAAAGTAGCTGCAAAATTGGAGAGCCGCGATCAATGTATATGTACAATTTTGCTGTAACATTATTAAAATTATTCGATGTCTACTTAAATCATTATAAAAATTGGTATTAAAAAATAAAAAGATTATTTTCTACGTCAGGATTGTGTCTATTTTAATTTTATTGATTTATTAATTATTTTTTTCTTTAGGCGAGGTACTGATACTGTATTAGGAGAGACATCTGATCCCCATGAAATATTTGGAACTTCTGAATGTGGTGATATAGGGCTAGCCACTATTCGTAATAAATGTAATGTAAGTGACAATGATGTTTTTATAACTAAAAATCTCTCTTTCTGCTTACAGCTTCATAATACTTACTCATGTTATTTGATTTACTTTTCTGATTAAGTTTTAATTTGTATGTTTTGGTAGGTTTGCTACATTATCTGATTTCTTTCTCTTTTTTTCTAGTGTTGTAGTTATGCATAAATAAAACTGCTAACTCTTACAATTTAATTCAGATATTTCTAATCATTAAATCATTAATATGAAGCTTGTAGCTTGAGTGAAATGATAAATAAATTAATTAAAAATGATAAACAAATTAAATGATTAAAAATGATAAATTAAAAAAAAAAAAGCCAATAGTCTGAAACATTAATCCAGAAAGAACGAAATATTTTTTTTACATTGTGTAAATCTGTAACTTTTGTTGAAGTTCTAGAAGTTACATAAACTAATAGATTATTTAAATTAAATTTTGAAAATAGATATTCTATTTAGAAAAATATTATAAATTTAAATTGTCATTAAATTATTTCTGTAATGTATTTCTGACATAAAGACTTGATTACAAACAATGAACTACTTGAACGTAGCATTGTGTGAACCTGTAATTTTTGTTGAAGTTCTAAAAGTTACATAAACTAATGGATAATCTTAAGTGAAAATTAAATTTCGAAAATAAATATTCTATTTAGAAAAATATTGTAAATTTAAATTGTCATTAAATCATTTCTGTAATGTAGTTCTAACATAAATACAAACTAGACTTGATTACAAAAAATGAACTACTTAGCATTGTGTAAACCTGTAATTTTTGTTGAAATTCTAGAAGTTACTTAAAATAGATTATTTAAATTGAAAATTAAATTTAGAAAATAAATATTTCAATAAAAAAAAATATTGTAAATCTGAACTGTCATTAAATCAACTCTGTAATGTATTTCTAACATATGTACAGACTAGACTTGATTACAAACAATAAACACTTAAACATAGCATTGTGTAAACTTGTAATTTTTGTTGAAGCTCTAGAAGTTACATAAACTAATGGATAATCTAAATTGAAAATTAAATTTTAAAAATAAATATTCCATTTAAAAAAATATTGTGCATTTAAATTGTTGTTAAATCATTTCTGTAATATATTTCTAACATAAATACAAACTAGACTTGTTTACAAGCAATAAACACTTAAACGTAGCATTGTGTAAATCTGTAACTTTTGTTGGAGTTCTAGAAGTTACATAAACTAATGGATAATCTAAAGTGAAAATTAAATTTTGAAAATAAATATTCTATTTAGAAAAATGTTGTAAATTTAAATTGTCCTTAAATCATTTCTGTAATGTATTTCTAACATAAGTACAGACTAGATTTAATTAAAAACAATAAACTAATTAGACTTTGAAAAAAATATTCATTTTCATTTACAACTCTACAGGAGAGGATCTCCTCAAACTTACTATCTTCAAAACTAAAACATCTCTGACTGACTGAGTGAACTGCTGTTTGTTTTTGTTCAAGTTGCTCTTAGTGAGGATGTTACATTTCTCATTCAATAATTTTTTTAGCAATTTGGGACTTCTAAATCTTTACCTTTTGAAAGTAAAATTTAAATTTTCATTTTTTTTAAAGCGGTATTTGATGCTATTATCAAATAATTTTCTTCTTCATCAATCGAGTAATTTTTGTGGCATATGTTACATTGTGCATAGCGTTTTTAAAAAGTGCTTAAAGGTGCTTATTTTCGTTTTTTAAAAGCCCTTAAAGCTGCTTTTTGCATTGTTTGTTTTTAAAAAGTGCTTAATTTTTCCTTTTCGAAAATGAGATTTTTTTTCTTTACCGTGTCAATTTTCGTATTATGCAAAAGTGTTGCTTTTCACATGGCTCTATTCAATGTTTTCATGATTAATTCAACCACAATCTATTTCAGCGTACCGTCGATCCACAGCGTATAAATTCGCCTATCATTTTACAGGTTTGATGAAATATTTGCAGGTCTGCAAATGCGTATACTGAGCTGGGTTCGGTGAGATTATCGCACTCTCATGTATAACTCTGCTGCATTCTGCAATATTCTCAAATTTCAAGCTTCATTTTCCACCCTCTGAAATCGAACCGAAAAATCTCTTGATCATTTTTTAATCGCTAATATAATCAAGAAAAGAGTTCTTTGTCAGAAACTAGTTCTTTTATCCTGATCATGTAAAGTCATTGAAAATTATTTTGCATTTTCGTGTATATAGTAGTTAAAAATACTTTTTGAGTGCTTAAACAGTACTTAAAAGGTGCCTATTTTTTGTTGACAGATTTGGCTCCGAACCCTGTGTTAGCTTCTAATTTTATTACAAATTTACTAAGATTGTTTCAAATTTATTAACAAAGCTCATCTAGATACCTTACAATAAATTGTTTACATTTAAATTTCTAAATTTAAGTCTTGATACGTTTTAAATTCGCTGCATATCTTTTCAATATTTAAATGCTTCCCTAACTTTTAATTTTGTTGTTTTTTTTTGTTGTTTTTTCTGTTGAGTTATGAGTTTGTGTTTTGAGTTATCTTTACTTATTTGTAAAAATTTAAGCCACTAATTTTATCTTGCTTATTGTAGGTTATCTTTAAAGCTCCTGCACCAAATTGGCATGAACTTGGAGGCACTGAAGATTCCTTATTTGATACAGTGGAATTAGTTGATGAATCGTCATTTTTCTATCAAAAATGGTAATATTTTCAATTATGTATTTTTACTGTGGTGTGGAGAATTTCTTCATTCACTTTTAACGTTATAAATTGACCTTTTTTCCTTTAATAATGTTATGTCAAATAACACTGGCGAACAAATTTCTTGTTGAATTTATAAAAGTACTTGATCTTGCCTAATTCAGGTGAATCAAATCTGAAATTAGATTTGCTCCTAGAGCTACAGATTTTTTTTTTCTTTTAAAAAAGACTTTTTAGTCTATTTTTTGTACAAATGTACAAATTTAATAGCATTATATATAACATTGGGTTGCATAAATGTTGCGACAAAGCTCTAGGGGAGTTAATAAATTTAAAGAGGCTATGAATGCAAGCAGGAGAATGGTTTTTACAATCGGATGCAATATACTTCCAATTCTCAAGAATGAAAAGAGATATTTCACCATGGCTTTAGCCACTGAGGATAAAAATACCGGATCCTGTAACTCTTTCTACATTCATATGGAAGTTGATTTATTGTCAATGGAAGAATGTTGGTTTTGGGAGTGCAAATATGTTAAACACCTGTTTTGGGAGTCAATTTCTTTGCATTAAAGAAGAAATGAAACAAAATTTTGGTCACTTTATTGGTATGAGAGCTTAGTTTAAACATTCTAATATATGCTTATATTGACACCAAAATAAAGACTTCTAAAATTCAAAATATATTTCAATACAAGGAATCTTACCTTGTTACGGTTCTATTTTATCAATCTTCACCCAGTACTCTCTTCAGGTCTTTTGTTGCAGATAAGTAACACCTATACTTATGGTGGGATGCATTCTTAAAAATTTTTTAAAGTTGCTTTTTTTCAATTTCTGTTTTTTAAAAGCCCTTAAAGGTGCTTTTGTCATTGAGTGTATTTTAAAAAGTGCTTATTTTCTCTTTTTGAAAATGATATATTTATTTTTACTATGTCGATTTTCGTCATGTATTATGTAAAAGGCATGATTTTCACATTATTCTAGTCAACCGCAATCTACTTCAGCATAACTTCAGTCCGTAGGGTATGAAAGTGCCAATCATTTTCAATGATTGATGTAATACTTGCGAGTCCGTGTGTGTGTCTACTAAACTGGATTTGGTTAGATTCTTGCACTCGCATGTGCAACTCTGCTACATTTTGCAAGATTTTCTCCATTTCAGGCTTCATTTTCCACCCTCTAAAATCGAACCGAAAAATCTCTCCATCGTTTCATGGTGACTAATATAATGAAGAAAGGAGTTCTTTGTCAGAAACTAGTTATTTTATCCTGATCATGTGAAGTCTGAAAATTATTTTGCATTTTGTTAATGTACATGGTGCTTAAAAAGTACTTAAAAGGTGCTTATTTTTTGTTGAAAGATTTGACTACGCACCCTAATAGTGGAAAATACTTCGAGCAAAGACGTTTAAAAAATATATTTAACTATCATAATAAAATAAAAATGAAAGCTATTTTCAGATGAAAAAAATCAGTATATTGCAATAAACAAATTCTTGGCTACACACTGAGGAGAAAGAGTGCACACTTCAGTTTTTCACCGCTAGGGGGGGATTCTTAAAAATGTTGATGTAGCGTTACGTCTATAGATTATTAGCAAGCGGTACCTCATGTATTGATCATTACAGTGAAAGGGTCATGTTAAAGAGTGTAGACTGTATATATCTTGATGATCTTTTTCATCTAATAATTTTGGCAATTATGTCAAAAATTCTCTTGCAAAAGCATTGCACCGTGATGAGAGCTTTTGCTTTCATTTACATAATTCAAAATTTTGATAACATAGCTGCCAACTCTATTGGATTTTGCCAGTGTCTCCTGGTCTACTGGTTTAATAAAAATTCTCTTAATTTTTGTACATTTCAGAAAATTCCCTAACATTGAGTAAATTTCCTTCAAAAAAATCCCTATTAAGATTTTTGCTTGCTTGAATATTTAAATGAATGTTACTAATACAATAAAGCAAACCTTATTTACAAAATTCAGTTAACTATCTTTGAATTAAATTCCTATTACTTATCAAAATTATGAATAAGCATAATGCATAATATTTCAATATCATTTATTCTGAGATCATAACTGGAAAATATTGGCTGTCTTTCTATTTTGATGACTATAAAAATTCCCTATGTGTAAAATATNTACATAATTCAAAATTTTGATAACATAGCTGCCAACTCTATTGGATTTTGCCAGTGTCTCCTGGTCTACTGGTTTAATAAAAATTCTCTTAATTTTTGTACATTTCAGAAAATTCCCTTACATTGAGTAAATTTCCTTCAAAAAAATCCCTATTAAGATTTTTGCTTGCTTGAATATTTAAATGAATGTTACTAATACAATAAAGCAAACCTTATTTACAAAATTCAGTTAACTATCTTTGAATTAAATTCCTATTACTTGTCAAAATTATGAATAAGCATAATGCATAATATTTCAATACCATTTATTCTGAGATCATAACTGGAAAATATTGGCTGTTTTTCTATTTTGATGACTATAAAAATCCCTAAAATTCCCTATGTGTAAAATATTCAGTATATTTTGCAACAATTATCATGAAATTTATATTATTTCGTAAAATCTATAGTATTTCTTTCTATATGTGTTGGCAGCTATGGGATTAGTTCCAATTTCACTGAATCTTTTAAATGGTTGTTATACATATATATTTAAAATCCATGTATTTGTAGGTATGATGCAGACACATGCAGATTTGAAGACCCACCTCTATATCATAATTCTATGCCTAGTTGTGATGAGAATAAAACAATCTGTTTTGGATGTATAAAATACGAAAATGCTGAAGAAGTATGTTCTTTAGTTGCTCTGCATTGTTTGTATCTTATAGCAATAAGTATTAAGTGATATTTCTCTATTAAGTAATAATTTATAGATCTATTTCTCATTAAGTAATTATTAAGTAATATTTCTCAAAATTTGTGAGTGAGAAATCTTTTATTTATAGAATTTTTTGACTACTTATTATTCAGTTTGAACTTTTAATCAGTTTTAAATATTTTATTAAATATATCTAATGAATTAACCATTATTTGTTTCTTATTACTGTTACCCTAGTAACAACTTTACTTTGGCCCTAGTTGGGGTCATAATTGACTCAATATGGATGTTTTATGAACATGCGCCAAAGGACCAATATTAGGGTGTCTATATTTTTTAATAAGGGCAAATATCGGCCTTTGTGGGGCCAATAAAGGGTCTATATTGGCTGAATAATTAATTTAAAATATCTGATGAATCTGACAATTCTATATAGGTCTGATAGTGGTTGTAAAGTGGTTGGAAATATCGAGTGAATGGGATAATTCTATATAGGGCCAACATCAGAAAATAATGACCCTTTGAACCTTTACTGAGCTAAGATTCGTGAATATTGGTCCAACGAGGGCCCGAGTTATTTTGCTGCTTGGGTAGTTTGATTATTAAATAATATATCACTAAATTGGTGATTAGAAAATTTTTTTATTGAAATTTTTTATTGTATTGTTCAATTTGACCATTTAACTATTATCAAAAATATATCAATACTTTACTCGCTTGTTGATTTTTTTTTCCATTAAAATTAATATTAACTTTTTTCCCCCTTTGTAAACGGGAGATTAAATTTTTTATTTTATTTTAAACTCATTAAAGAAATTTATTTTATATAAAATTCAATCAGTTTCATTACATTCCATTAGTCAATAATGCTCTTATTATGTTAATAAGATGTTTATAACTTCATTGTTTTGTGGTTTATTACAAATGACCGAAGCAAAAAGTACATTTTCTCAAAATCAGGGTACAAAATGTTACATTTTTGAAGAATTAAATTGTTACTCTATTCAAATAAATTATTTAACTATCTTATAAAAATATTTATATTCTCAACTATTATATTATGCTCCATTGTCATTGTTTTGCCCTGGCAATTTTAATCAAAATGTGTAAACAAAAGTTTTGTGTACTTTCAAAGCTTCATATCTCTTGCTTTAACTAAGCAACAAATAAATTTTTTTTGTTTATATTTTTATATATATATATAAATTTTATTTTTGTTTCATGTGACCTACCGAAAAGATACAAAAGGTGCATAAGTATAAGACAAATAAGCCTACATGATGTATAAGAATTTTATGATATTTTTGGTGTGTGTATTTTGTTGAGTGTCCTTTATTTCTTCAAACATTATTTATTGCTAATAATAAAATAAATATATGATTGTTTTTAAATTATGTATGAATGTAGTAATTTATCAAGTATTTTGTTAACATTTTTTTAAATATTTAGTTGGCAACTGTTAGCTTTATTCAATATGATGAGGATAAAGATACAAAATATTATAAGAGTGGTCGGTGGCTAGGACAAACAATACAAGTAGGAGATTGTGTTTATATAAATCCTGATGTTTTCAGTTTTCCTAAGAAGAAAGTAGTTAAGACAGAAAGTACTGAGTCAGAGAAAGAGGTAAAAAAAATTCTTTCGTTTGTATATATGCTAAATTAGTTCCTCTTTGAATCTAATTGAGCTATTATTCTAGGTAGAATCGACTATTGATATAATTTGTGATAAAAATTTCTCTGTAGACAATTTTTAAGTAAATAATACGAATAAAAACATTGCAATAAGCTCTAAATATGATCTTGTACCAATTAATTTATTTAAGGCTAGCAGGAGTTTGTGTTTTCTTTTAAAAATTTTTTCCAGCCACCTAGAATCTTTTTATCAGCAAGTAAATTTTTAGAGTAACATGCTCTTTCTATTTACTTATAAATTTTCACAATTTCTTATATCGATGCAGTCAGGCAAGACAAGAAAATCAGCTGATTCTATAGAGTAGGCTTGCTATTATCTTTGACATCAATTGCGATTTAGTACTATATTAGTTTTTACTTTAATACTGAACCAACCAATATTATGTCTACTAGCTCCAATATATTCCAATATGAAAATAGTATTTTTTTGTTCGTCCTTGGCAGGATTGGGATTCAAAGAATGTAACAGTATGCTGAGAAAAATAATTCAACGTTATTCTGGGTAATAGTTTAAGGCTCTAAATGCGTATTAAATTGTAAAGTGATGTCATTACAAAAATTCTGTTTATGAAATACATAAGAAGTTATTCTGCATTCAATTTATTTAATTTATAAACGTCTTCTTATAAACGTCTAACAAATGTCTAAAGATGACGCAACATCATTGACAATTTTCACTTGGGTTGTGAGTGTTGTTAAATTTGTCATGTCACGCATAACAGTTTCTATGACAACTGCTTTGATCCAACCTACATACCTCTCGCAGAGCTTCCGACTTATAGGCGGAATGAAGTATTGTAATAATTTAAATAGAATGTATAAAACTAAGTAGGAAATCAGTCTTTTTCTAATTATTCTATTACTTTAAAAATGTATATGCTGTTAAATAAATAGTGTAGTAAAAATGTTCTCATTCTCTTGATTGCTGTTGAATAAAAAGTGTTCTATTTAAAGGATCTGTTATATGGCACGTCAGATTTCAGAATAATCGTATCTGTTTCTGTCATGTTATGGAAACATAATGAACTCAAATATATTTTCATTCCAAATATTAGTCTATTTTTATATATTCGGATAGAAATTGTAGGATATTTCTTTTATGAATTTGATTGTCGTGCTATGAGCAATTTTTTAAAAACAAAAAACATAAATTTTGGATAAATATAAATAAAACAATTTATATGTATTTTATAAAAAATTTTAATGGAACAATTTAAAAGTAGTTTTGAACTTCATATTAGTTTTGCTCTGAACATTGTCCAATTCACGTTTTTTTTTGTTTTTTTTTACCGACTGGCAGTTTAGAAGATGAGAAAAATTGGGGGAATGTTTCTCCGATATAAGCTATCTAAAACCGGTTTTGCTATTGTGGAGAATGCTGCAGGTTAAAATACGACTTTTTATGTGCAGGGCCGTCAGTGGGTTAGAAAACGATATAGAACTCTTACATTGTCTTGATTCGCTTTTTTAAAGAAAAGATGTTGGATTCATTCTGCTATTGTTATTAATATTTTATTTTTGTTTAAGGTTGATGAAACTGTGTATCCAGAAGCGTACAGAAAAAGCGACTACGTAAAAGGCTCAAACCTAGATGTACCTGAACCATTTAAAATTGGATTCATAACAAAACTTTTCCAAAAGAAAAGAGGAGATCCCAAAGTAACTGTTAAAGCATTCTATAGGTAAATTTGTTTTCATCAATGTGTCTGTTAGTTAGCCTTAATATTTTAATGCAAATATTAATCTTTTTTTAAATATATGTTCGAAAGTATTCTAACCACTTATCACGTTTGAATGGTATGTAAGCATCTGGGTATTAACCTCAATACAGTATATTCTCAATATCTCAAAGTTGAAGAATCGCTAAAAAAATGTCAAGATAGCGAGTTTTCGAGATAACAAATTCGGAACTAAATATGTTCTGAAAAGTAGAAAAATATATTCTAAAATATTGTTCTAAAGAGTAGAGTGATACACATAAGAATAACTACTAATAAATATGTATTTATAGATAATTGATTATAAGTCTAAATGCAACAATGATAATTTTATTTTTAAAAGTAAGACAAAAATAATCATGCATTAAATAGGAAAGAATTGGTTTACAATAAACTTGCATAGTGATTTTTCCTAAAAAATTGCTTTTCTATTTCGTAGAAAATTAGACATAACAAGGTTTTGAGAAGAAACTGTGCGAGATAGGAATTCAAATTAACATTAGGTGAATATATAATGCCTAGGGGGAAAATATTTTTTCGACATAAAAAAGTTTACGAGTCATAGAAGTTTGAGATATTGAGAGTATACTGCATTTTATTTTATGTATATGAATTTTTTTAAAAAAAAAAATTTTTAAAATTTATTTTTAAAAGATATGATTCTGGCTCATAGCCTTAATATTAATTATTCTGGCTTAAAATCAGCTTATTAAGGGCTGATTTTCCCTAAATTTCAGTAGTTACTATGGAAATAATTTGTGAATTACAGAGTTACTTACAAAATGCTATGAATTAAAATTTATTAAACCAAAATTGGGATTTTTGTTTATTTTATTTATTTATTTTTAGTATAAAGAAACTCAACAAGTGATTAAAAAATTTAAAGCTTAGAAATTGATCTTTTTTTTTGTAACAAAAATTTCTGCATATCCTAAATTCTTAATATATATCACACTCCGGCAAGAAAAGTGACACAAGTCAAAAACAGCAATTTTTAGGTTATGTCAATAAAAAATGTGTATGATGTGCCCCATCAAGCTCAAAAAGTGTCTCACCTCTAAATTGTGCTCAAGATTGTGCTATTTTAAAATAAGTTTTATAGTATTCTTTAAGTTGATTTTTCTCAAATGCTGTTTTTTGACTTGTGTCACTTTTCTTGCTGGGGTGCGATAAGTAAAATTTTTCAATAAAATCATGTTAATTTAAATCACAAAAATCTGTAAGCGTTTTAAAATTATACTCTGAAAATGTTAGGAATTTTTTTTTGAAGAGTAATAAAGTACAATTTGGTGCAGTTAAGGTTATTCTGTTTTTTTGGGCAATTGAATTTTTATGGCAGTTTATATTTTATGACATCAAATCTCAACTATTCTTACTGATGTCACTAATTTTTACTAACTATGATTTTTCGTAATAAATTATAAAATCATTTCTAGACCAGAAAATACTTCCCGAAGTGAATCTTTGAATCACTCAGCAGATTTCAATCTACTGTTTTGGAGTGATGAAGGTAATCAATCATTTTTATTTGGTACTGTTTCTTTTTTTTTTAAATTTTTTTTAGAAAATATTTAGTGAGCTAGTTTTCTTAATAATTATTTAGCTTTTTGCAATTAATCTTAAATATATAAGTTTTTTTTTTAAATGCAGTCTTACACAAAGTGTTCTATAATAACTTGGCTTAATCCTAGATATATCTAATTTTAAATCAGTGCTAATCTGTAACTAATCATTTGAAGTGAATCTTTGAATCACTCAGCAGATTTCAATCTACTGCTTTGGAGTGATGAAGGTAATCAATCATTTTTATTTAGTACTGTTTCCTTTTTTTAAAAATTTTTCAGAAAATATTTAGTTAGCTAGTTTTCTTAATAATTATTTAGCTTTTTGCAATTAATCTTAAATATATAAGGTTTTTTTTAATGCAGTCTTACACAAAGTGTTCTATAATAACTTTGCTTAATCCTAGATATATCTAATTTTAAGTCAGTGCTAATCTGTAACTAATCATTTGTTGAAGTGAATCTTTGAATCACTCAGCAGATTTCAATCTACTGTTTTGGAATGATGAAGGTAATCAATCATTTTTATTTAGTACTGTTTCCTTTTTTTAAATTTTTTTTATAGAAAATATTTAGTGAACTAGTTTTCTTAATAAATGTTTAGCTTTTTGCAATTAATCTTAAATATATAAGGTTTTTTTTTAATGCAGTCTTACACAAAGTGTTTTGTAATAACTTTGCTTAATCCTAGATATATCTATTTTTAAATCAGTGCTAATCTGTAACTAATCATTTGTTGAAGTGAATCTTTGAATCACTCAGCAGATTTCAATATATTGTTTTGGAGTGATGAAGGTAATCAATTATTTTTTATGTATTTGGTACAGAAGAATGCACATTAGAGTTTGCAACTAAATATTTAAGATAAAAATAAAAATAAAAAAGAAATCAAAAGCACTATAAAAATCTAACTATTTATTAGCGAGGAAGGTATCAATGAAAGCATTAACTTGTTTGCTTATTTATTTGTAATAGGAAACAGAGTGGAGTTGAAAAGTGATTATTAGAAACATCTACAAGTTTTTTTTTTTTTTAATATATTGAGTCTCGCTTTCCTCAGTAGTGAAGGGTTATATTTTTAAAGTGTTTATGCATTTTTTCTTTTATTTTTTTGTTATATTTGTTTCATTTGCCGTAAAAATAGAAATAAAACAAGCACTTTAGAAGGAAGATAATTTTCTTAGAAAAAAATTCAGGATGTTGATATGTGGACTATTTTTATGTGCAGTCAACGAGCTAGGAATTTCTAAAAATTTGATAAACAACGCTAGACTGTGTTAATTAGTCAAAAAATAAGTTCAATCTTGAAAAAAAAAATTTCTGAGGGGCACACATAAAATACATATTGCAAATATATCCCACAAAGAATAAATGTTCTCAGAATCTAATCTATTAACTAATCAATCTAGAATTGCAATGAATCGAGCGAATACGAGCATTTTGAACACATTATAGTATTTATTACATCTAGAATGAGTGATATTTATGTATAGCATTCACCAGAAGTCATGCTTCCGATTTAATCATCTCATTGGTGGGGGGGGAGGAAGGAGAAGGAGAACAAATAATGGAACTTTATATAAAATAAATGTTTTGACTACAGAATTCTATTTGGTTTAAAAGTTAACAGTTTTAGTAAAAGGAGAAAAAAATTACTTATTGGACCAGAGTAGTATGTATTGTACTTATTGTATGTAGAGTAGTGTGGCATAGGAAAAATTCATGTTATGTAAATCGAAACAAACACCCCTTTGTTGTATGAGATATTGAAATTAGTAATATTATTATGTTGTGCCTTGAGACTCCTTCCGAGTGCAACATGTTTTACTGTTTTATGATACAATCATTACTATATAGTTTTAAATAAAATCAAAATTGTTGTTCTAATTTTTCCATATCTCTAACATTTTATTTTCTCTTCCTGAGACATTAATTCACTACTTTTGAATGCTATCATTTGTTGTGATGTTGATTAGTTAACGTCATTATTAAAATTAAAAATAATATTAATGATGCCATTCGAATCTTAGATATTAACTATGTCCAACCTTCTTTTACCTTATTTTTCCATATTTTCCAAAGAGACATGTTTTAATTACATAATTTTCTATTGCAGAATATACTTTTGAATTCACAAATATTAAAGGAAAATGTTATGTTGTCTTCAGTGAAAATCTTACTGAGTCAGTAGATGATTATTTCAAAGGTGGTCCGCATCGTTTTTATTTTAATGAGGTAAGTTTTTGCTATAATTATAATATTTGTAGGTTCTTTTAAGGTAGGTAGGTAAATTTAAAGAGCTGCACAATGGGCTATTGGCGGCAGTCTGGAAAACATCCCTGAGGGTGAACCGAGACATGCTATCGTAATTTTGATTCTTTGCAGAGGGGATGGCTCCTCTGTTTAGGTAGCTCGACCATCTGCGCAGAACGTCCAGCACTTAACGATAGGACCTGTACCGCGCACCCTTGGTCCCTACGCAGGCTGATCAAAGTGGTCACCCACCTGCTTACTGACTGCAGCCAGTGATGCTTCATGGTGCGTAACGTTTTTAAAAAGTGCTTGAAGGTGATTATTTTCGACTTTCATTATTTAAAAATCTTTAAAGGTGCTTTTTTCATTGGGTGTTTTCAACGTTTTCACAACTGATTCGAACACGATCTGTTTCGGCGTACCAGCGGTCCTAAGCGTATGAAAGCGCTAATCATTTTACAGGTTTGATGAAATACTTGTAAGTCCGCATGTGCGTCTACTGAGTTTTCGGTTAGATTATTGCACTCTCATGCGCAACTCTGTTGCATTTTGCAAGATATTCACAGTTTCAGGCTTCATTTTGCACCCTCTGATATTGAACTGAAAAATCTCTCGATCATTTTATAATGGCTAATATAATCAAGAAAAGAGTTCTTTATCAGAAACTAGTTATTTTATTATGATCATGTAAAGTGTTTGAAAATTATTTTGCATTTTGTTAATGAAGATAGTGCTCAAAAATATTTTTGGGTGCTTAAAAAGTACTTAAAAGGTGCTTATTTTTTGTTGAAAGATTTGTCTATGCACCCTGTGCTTGACTTCAGTGTTCTTCTGGGAATCATGTCTTTACAATCAGTCCACTGCGAGATTTGATACTTCTTTCAATGAAATAAATGAAAAAAATTTTTTTTTACTTAGTTTAGCTGTTAATTTGTCTAATTATCTATTTAGGCCTATGATAGTTCTACTGGAACCTTTGATGAACCACCATCTATTGCTCAACGAATTGGAAGAGTTGGCAAGGTAAGATTTGTTCCATTTCTTTAGTGCATTCCTTGAATGTTTTATCACTGCTAACACAAAAATTATCGTGAATTTATTTGCGCAAATCTTTTAAGCTTATTTGTGATATTAATTAATAATTGTGAATCAAGATATTTTACTTTTTAACTTTCCTAAATAGATATAGTACGTATTTGTAGACTAAGTTAATGCCTCAATGTTATCTCTTGTCTGGAATCTAAAGGAATTTCAGAACACTTTTTAATAATTGGACAACTTTGATCTATTTAAAAAAAGGTGCTTCTAGCCTAAAAGAGGCCTTGTAATTTTGTATACTGTAACTCTCTAAACAACATTTAAATACAGAAACTCTTTTATAGGCTGTAGATTTAGGTCTGTGTAGTTAAAAAATATTTAAACTATCCTTTTGATTAAGAACGCTTCAGCTATTATTACTTTTTTTATTATCTCATATTTAAAATCTATAGTTTCTTTCTTATTTTGACTTTGAGTAAGACATATTTTTTTTTACTAGGGGAAAGGAAACATTAAAGGAAAAAAGACGACTTCCAACGAAAAAGTTGAAAGCAAACCTGAAGAGTATCCTGTTATTAATGAAAAGCTTAAGACTCTTGATGTTTTTAGTGGTTGTGGTGGTAAGTGCTTTATTTATTTACTCAGCAGATCTTTTTTGGAGTTAAGAATAGGATAAGATGATCATTTATATTCAGTAATCCCTTCTTAGCTAAAGAAACTTTATAAACTATACATTCTCTTGCAAGTTTATATTTTAGTAATTTAGACTGAAACTGGGAAGTTGAGGAATTTAATGAATCAAAAAAAGAAAAATCAGGGTTAGATGAGTAACTTTTTTCTGTTGAAGTATTCAAAAATCAGGTAAAAGAGTTTAATTTGGGCTTGAAGTGTATTAAATTGGGTTTGAAGTGTATTATAAGTTCAATATATTTTCCAAGAAAATTGATTCAAATTATGAAAGAAGTATTATGATTCTTGATTTTGGTTCAGCTTACATTAAAAATCTACCAAAAGTTTTTTTTTTTTTTTTTTTCTGTGTCGTGTAAATTTGTAAAAATACAAATTTTTTTTTTCAAAATTTTAAAAATATTTATGTTTAATATTAAGGAAATAGTTATATTGTTGATTTGTCAGAATAGAAAAAAAAATATCTCAGTGTTATCTTGTATCTCTTATTACTGTTATTTACTCTGAATCTGTTAAAATTAAATGTTTATTCTTGTAACCATTTTTTAAATTTCAACTATAGATAGAGTTTTTTGTGGTAGATTTTATTTTTACGAATTGATCGTATGGAAAATTGCCAGTAAAATTTATACATCAGTATCAAAATAGGGAAAATTTGATAAAATTAGTTTATGTATATATTAGTGTATATATAGTATATACTGGGTGGTTAGCGTTTTTTGAAAGCCCTTAAAGGTGCTTTTTTTATTCGGGGTTTATAAAAAGTGCTTAATTTTCTATCTTTCAAAAAGAGATTGTTGTTCTAAATTACAAAAATGCATGATTTTCACAGCAGTAACTAGTTATTTTAACATGATTATGTAAAGTCTTTGAAAATGTTTTTGAATTTTATTGATTTTATGTTCATAAATTAAAAACTTTAAACGATAGAAAAAAATTATTTTCATTGCTGCACAGATCCTAATTATGTCTCTTTTTTTTTTTAAAGTGATTAAAACTATTTTTTGAGTGCTTTAAAAGTACGTAAAAGGTGCTTATTTTTTGTTGAAAAATCTAGCTACTCACCCTAAGTGTAAGAAAATAAAACTCCTTTTATCACACAGAAATTTTTTAAGCAATATGGGTTATACAAAGAACTTGTAAATTTTTCATTTCATTATACTAAATATTGAAAAATACATAATTTTTTTTGCATTTTTATCAAAACATGTTTTAAAACACATTTTGTATTTAAGTGTTTAAACATGAAATTTAACAAGCACTGCATATTTATAAGTATTATATGAAATAGCAAAAAATGCTGAAAAAGTGTGTTGTTTTTTTAAAGGTTTGTCTGAGGGCTTCCATGAAGCTGGTGTCAGCGATACTCGGTGGGCTATCGAAAAAGAAGAACCAGCTGCTCAAGCCTTTAGACTGAATTTTCCGGAATGTTCTGTATTTACAGAAGATTGCAATCTCTTATTACGTCTTGTTATGGATGTGAGTTTTTATGATTTCCCATTGTTTCTAAATTTTTTATTTATTTATTTTTTTTTTTTGAAAATTATTTTAATGTTGTCCTTTATAAAAATTATCTTAATTATTGCTTTAAAAAACACTGTTTCTACTCCCCGATTCATGAATCATTTGATTTAAAAACTGCAGCTGGAATATTTTTATTGGTTTTCTATAGTATGAAAATAATGTGTTAACAAAAAGAGACTTCGAAAAATGTTGATGTCTGCTGCTGTTGACGAAAAGAAGCTTTAGGAATGCAAGTTTTTAATGTTCGTTTAAAATTTAAGTTTAGTCATAATTAGACTTGTTTTTTTCAATGTAAACTATTTTATTTCAAGTGCAATTTAATTCAAATAGTTCAGAATCTGTCATGCCAATTAAAAAAATTCTCTAAAGTATGCTTCTAATTATAAAATTATTTCTTTAAAAAAATAACTGTATTCTTATTGACTCTTTGTTTGTCTATTCTATATTTTTGGGCATCACAATTTGTTTTAACGCTAAACATGCCTTAACCGGTTAGAAGACCTGTTATTGTATGTTGTATTATAAAGTGTTGGTATGTTTAATGTTAATGTATTTTCCCTAGTAATAGCTTATGTAACTTATTTACTTTCATTTGGAAAAAAAAAATTGTGTTTTTGTAGTTTCTCTAATAGAAATTACAGGCTTTTAGCTACAGGTTTTCTGCCTAATTGAATAGAAAACTGAGTATAATCAAATTCAATGGATACATTTTTAAAAGGGTTAAAAAAACTTAAACCGTGATATATTTTACAGCTTTAAAAACTTTTTCTTTATCTACCATTAGTGGCTCTATCTATCTTTAGTCAATATAAAAAAAAGTGTATGTGTTATCCCTCCAAAATATCAAAGAAAAATGATTTTAGATTTTTAAAATTTTTTGTAATTTTCTTTTTGATCTCATAACATTTGATATTTCTATATGAAATATTATTAAATATTATTGAGTATTAATAAGTTAGTCTTTTTCTACTTGTACAAATACATCAGACTCAGGGGTTAAAGCGAGTTGTACCCAGATCTCAATATATATATATATATGTATATGTATATATATGTATATGTATNTTGGATCTTTCATTTTACTGAGTTTAAATCTGCAATTGTTTCTCTCTCCAAGCTATAGTTTTTTTAAAACTTGCATTTTTAGTCTACTTTTTTGTCAAAATGTAAAAGTTATATATAACAGGGAGTTGCATAAATCTTGCATCAAACTTCTTGGGTAGTTAAGACACATCATCAGGATTAAAATTGCATAGAAATCCATGCCAGGAAACGTTGTATGCAGCTATTATGACCTGTTCAGAAGCATATGAAGGAAACAATTCAAAATAGAAAACTGCCCCTAATGGCATGTGGCATTTTTATTATATATAATGGCAATTAATATATTATTTATATGGCAATTTTAATCTTGGATGATGATGTGCCCTAACTACCCTTGAAGTTTGTCCCAATATTTACATCGTTACGTTACATCTGTATTATATAACGTTTTTAAACTTTGACCGAAAACGGGTTAAAAATGTTATTTAAAAAAAATCTGTAGCTTTAGGAGCAAAACTAATTTCAGATTTGAAGTACACACACCTGAATTAGGCATGGTCATGTATTTGTGTAATTGCAACAAAAAATTTGTTTCCCAGTGTAATAGTATTCAACAAAAGCTTAAGTTTAGCTATAAGTTTTCCAATTTGAGATAGCTAATGGTGAATCTATCTCTTTTTCTTTACGCTACAAAAATGTAGATTATCACTTTAGCTACTTTTAGTTAATGCTGTATGGATTCTAAGAACAAAAACCAACAATAATAGACACCAATCGAATATTTAAAAACACGCTAATAACATTTTATCACATGTTTTCATTTGATTTATTTTATAACATGTCTTTATTTGATTTATTTTATAACATGTCTTTATTTGATCAAAAGAATAAATAAATAAAAACAATGAAAAATAGGACAACTGAAGCTGACGTCGTCAGGGGATACCAGCCCTGAAAGTCAATTGCTTTAATAATTTTGATTTCTCTTCTTATTTTTCTTTATTTGATTTATTTTATAACATGTCTTCATTTATTCATGTCTTTAGGGTCAAGAGACAACGTACAAAGGTCAGAACCTTCCACAAAAAGGAGAAGTAGAACTGCTCTGTGGTGGTCCGCCATGCCAAGGATTCAGTGGCATGAACAGATTTAACTCTCGGCAATATTCACTCTTCAAGAACTCTTTAATTGTATCCTATTTAAGTTATTGTGATTACTATCGGCCTAGGTTCTTCTTGCTTGAAAATGTCAGGAACTTTGTGTCTTTCAAAAGGAGCATGATTCTTAAGCTGGCTTTAAGTACTCTAGTACGCATGGGGTATCAGTGTACGTTTGCTGTTCTACAAGCTGGTCAATATGGCGTTCCTCAAACTAGAAGAAGGTGATATTCTTGAAATTATTCTTGAATACTTCAATTTTGTGTTTGTTATTGATGTATTTAGATTTAAAATGCAGCTTATTTAAAAAAAAAGATCTGGTAACAGAAAAAGGGTAATTTTTTCAAATGTCGCTTTTTCAGACTTTAAAAAATTATAACTCGGGTAAGAAAGTTGGAGAGTTATAATAATTTTTGTAAAAATAAGTCATGTCTTTTGCACTCACTCTAATTATTATGAACTTTTAGAAATTTAAATTTTTAAAAAAAAAAAAAACTGGCTTTGACAAACATAAAATTTTATTTTATAACCATTGTTGAACAGCCGACCAAATTTTTGATTTACTACTGCTAATGTTCAACTCTATAGCCTTGTAATATTGAACGTAATACAGAAGACAAGGGAACTCCTGGATCAAGTATTGGGAGAAATTTTCCTTCGTTAGGACTTTTTCATGGAACTAACCCGCATTTACGTTCATTTGCACTACATGGCAAGGAAAATCGCGAAACGATCGCCTACTACGGTTAGCCTGACGACAAGAGGACTCTAATCCATAATCCGTCTACTACTGAGGATATTTTACGCCAGCACTGTGGTCTGTGCAAGATGGATGCGAAATTTGTATCAACCAGTCATTGCTGGGATTCGAACCTGGTTGACCTCTTTCGAAGGCCAATGCTCTATCCCCTGAGCCATCACAGCTCAGACGTGATATTTTCTGTTTGGTCTGTAATACCCAGTTTTTATTTTTTTTAAAAGAAGTTTTAAGCGGAAGTTACTTTAAATAAAAGCAAGTGTAAAAAACAATTCCAAAACTTTCATAAAAATTATAAAAATCTTTTTTTTTACAGAGCTTTTAAAGTTTGAAAATATGATCTCCCTAAATGGTAGGATTGCTCTATTACACTTTTTATCATTTTTGATAAAATTTGTAGGAATTTAAATATGCATTATTAAATTTTACAAGAGAAATATAATATTCATTTGTATGAATGCAAAGAATTGTGAACATTTATCACAGTCACAAAAAAACCTTGGAATATCTAATTTTATTTAAACTTTAATTTAAAATCTTTTTTTTTTATAAATATTAATAAAAGGATTTTACTAAGTTTCTGTCACATTGTAATTGCTAATAAATCATTAGTTAAATAGGCTTAATGATTAACTAATCTCCTAAAAATTGATAAAATATGCATGCACTTTGTAAATGTATATAATTTTCTATATTTGTCTATGAATTGTTTTTTTTAAACTGATGTATGATTAACTTATTGTTAACTGTGCACAATCCACTGCGGTCTTCGGAAGCTTAATTATTTTTCCCGGGCCTCACCTCCAAAATTTGATAAAAAGTTGGTTTTTTTGTTTGTATGAGACTTTTTATTGAAGACATTTATTAATGAAATATCTATTAGAAATTTTTTTTTTACATTGTTTTAATTCTGTCATTTTCAGAGCTATAATTTTAGCAGCTGCCCCTGGAGAGAAACTTCCTTCCTTTCCTGAACNGGGTGAAATTTACCCTCGTGGAGGACTTTTTGATGAAACTCACCTGCAGTTGAGTTGCATGGAGTGATGAAAAACCTCCCACGGTTAGCCTGACGGCAACGAGATTCTAACCCAGGATCCGTCTACCACTGACTATATTTTACGTCATCTCTGTGGTCAGTGCAAGCTGGATGCGGAATTCGTATCAATCAACCATCGCTGTGATTCGAACCCAGTTTACCCCTTTGGAAAGCCAATGCTCTATCCCCTGAGCCATCACGGCTCAGACTTGATATATTCTGTTTTGTTTGCAATACCCAGTTTTACTTTTTTGAAAAGTTTCAAGCGAAAGTTACTTAAAATATAAGCAAATGTAAACAATGGCAAGATTTACTTTCACAAAAATTATATAAATGTTGAAAATTTTATTTACAGAGCTTTTAAAGTTTGAAAATATGACCTCTCTAAATGATGGGATTGCTCTATTTCACTTATTATAATTTTTAATAAAATTTGTATGGATTTAAATATACATTATTACATTTTATGTGGGAAATATAATATTCATTTGTATGAATGCAAAGAACTGTGAAAATTTTTCGCAGAAAAATCTTGGAATATCTGTTTAATTTTATTTACACTTTAATTTAAAATCCTTTTTTGTTTTATTGAAATATTAATAAAAGGCTTATACAAAGTTTCTGCCGCATTGTAATTGCTAATAATTAGTTAATGAAGATTCAATTAACCTTCTAAGAAATGATAAAATATACATGCACTTTGTAAATACATATAATTTTCTATATTTGTCTATTAATTGTTTTTATTTAGCTGATATATGATTAATTTATTGTTAACCATGCACAATCCACTGCAGTCTTCGGAAGCTTAATTACTTTTCCTGTGGCCCACGTCCAAAATGTGATAAAAAGTTTTTTGTTGTTGTTCGTATGAGACTTTTAATTGAAGACATTTGTTACTGAAATATCTGTTAGAAACTTTTTCTAATGTTTTAATTTTTTCATTTTCAGGGCTATAATTTTAGCAGCTGCCCCTGGAGAGAAACTTCCTTCCTTTCCTGAACCTCAACATGTCTTTTCACCTCGTGCTACACAACTAACTGTTGTTGTAGATGATAAAAAAGTAAGAGCCTTTCAAGCAATATTTTATAAGGTGAAGTATTAGGTAGTAAATCAAGGATTCAAATTATTGGCATAGGGTAATGAATTAAATTCATTTATTTTAATCAAATCTTATCCTTTGAGTTAAATGATTTTAATCTGTAGTTTCTAATATGTTATCCATCCAAATAGGGTTTTTCCAGGAAAAAAAAAGGATCCATTTTGGCCCGTTTTGAATTTTTGATTATAATTTTTCATTTTAACTTTATTCTTAATTCAATTGATTAATTTAATTTGAATTGCATAGATAATGTTTACTAGGCACCAGGTGTCCAAGACTGACAATGTTCAAAATCAAGAAAAAAAAAATATGGTAGGAGATGTAATTGTATGATTTGCTGCTGAGTTCTGCTGAGGAAACCAAATAATTTCTTCTTACAAAGTTGTAAATTAATTCATAAAATTGGCAATAGATGGCACTTTTAATTGAAATAAAAATATTAAACAAGGTTTTCAAAATGACAGCAGCAACATAGTGCTGTGTAAAAGCAAAATTAACAGATGCCATTGTAAATACTCAAGACTGTTCTAAAACTTTGCTTTTCTAGTGTTTGCAATCAGCAGTGTTCTCATTTAACAAACTTTTCAAATAATTTTAAAATATAGTCGGAAGCAATTTTATAGGTTTCCCAAGCAAAAGATGGCAAACAAAACATTTTTATCATATTTCATTTTACTTTAACAGATTTTTAACATGTGAGTTTTGGTATACCAGCTGCAATGTTATATTTTACAACCTTATTCTTAAATATGTTTGCAGTCTTATTATCAAATGTTAAGTTTACAACCTTATTATTAAATGTAAAGTTTACAACCTTGTTTTATATATTTTCATTGTAGTATAGACCTAATATAAAGTGGACATCATCCGCGCCTTATCGCACAGTTACAGTTGGGGATTCAATGTCTGATTTGCCATCTATAAAAAATGGAGCCAAGGCTGAAGAAATTTCGTACTCGGGTGATCCAGTCACGCATTTTCAAAAAAAGGTAATTTTTTACAAGATTTTGCTGCTCATTTTCATTTATTTTATTAAATCTGCTGTTTATATCTATATATATAGTGCAATAACTCCTATAGTAATGCTTATAGATAATTATGTGCAAAAAGAATAAATATGGATATAAATCAATACAAAGGTTTTCTAACGTTTTTAAAATGTAAATATTTAAATATATTTCAATCTTTTTTTTTAAAAGTTTTTTTGTTGTAAAGTTTGCAAACTGTTTTTGTTTTTCTATTTTAAAGCATCGTTTTCCAACTTATTATTTAAGTTTTTAGCAGCATTTCTTGTAAATTGATGCGTCACCTCTTCTTCAAAATATTGAATCGTTTCAATAGTTCAAGTTTGCCCTTTGATACAGATGGGACACTGATATCTTTTTTATTATTTTTTTCTGGCACTCTGATTACAGACAAAAATATATTTTGGAATGTTTTTAATTATTAAAAACAGTCTAATAGTTCCTAAAATTTTTTTTTAGATTATCTGAATTATATTTATGCAAAAATATAATATCCAAGAAAAGTAGTCTGGAATTTTTTTTTTCCATTCATATTAAAAAAATTATCAATAATTGATTTTGTGAGTTAAAGAAATTTTAATTGTGAACTTAGATATATAATTGCAAATAGGCACAAAATTAAAATGTTAAATATAATTTTTTTTCCACTTATTTTTACCTAAACTAATGCAAAATAATGTAAAGTATGTAAAATTTGTTTAAAAAACTTTTTGTGTCAAAGGAAAGGCCTTGCCTTTTGGGAGCTAGCCGACATGAATTTAAACTTCTTTTTTTAATTATCTGAGTGACACTTTACTTAGAAACTCACTGCTTTAGATAAAAAATTAATTGATATAATTAAGGAAACAGAACTGCATGGAGTGAGCTCTATTTTACCGATTTTGATTTACAATAACGGTAAAAAATGCTACTTCTCACTGTATCTTTAGCTATAATCCTCAAATTTTTCTTTTCAGAATTTATAGTTGCAGCATAATTAATGGAGGTTCTCAAACCATTCAATTCTTATTTCTTTTATGTATTATACATTTAGGTGCAATATTTAAACTAGAGTTAATCGAAAGACTTTTATAAATTTCTTTTCATACCTTTTGTCAGTACCATCAATGCTTATTATTCATAAAAAGACAGACAGCAGACAATCCATTTGCTGATAAAATGGAGTAAACTAATTGATGAATCGTGCCACCTAGCTTGAAATTCAAATTTCTAATTTTTAAATTAATTTGTAATAATTTTTATACTGTGATTTATATGCTAATATTACATTTATTCAGCTAAGAGGTCAGACTTATCAACCAGTATTGAGGGACCACATTTGTAAAGAAATGAATCCTCTTGTTGAAGCAAGAATGAGGCATATTCCAACGGTTCCTGGTGCTGATTGGAGAGATCTTCCAAACATAAGTGTAAGGCTTAGTGATGGGAGTAACACTAAAATTCTGTAAGTCACTTTTAAACTAAATATAAATTATACAGGGAGTGAAAATAGTTTGGGAACTGACAAATCTCTCACGAAATAATTGTGAAATTAGTCACATTCAGTATTTTTAAAAGCTATCCTATCTGAAATATGAACCCCTATTTTTTATTGCAGATTTGAATTCTCCAGAAAAAAGTAACCATATGTAAGTTGTTGGTGTATGCATTTTGCTTCACCGATATAGCTGTAACCGAGAAAATTAAAAAAGGTACTAACTGTTTAAAATGGTGGTAACTCGAGACCCATGAGATTGAAAATAAAAATAAATAAAACTAAAAATATTGAAAATAAATTTAAATAAATAAAAAAATATTTCAGTATTTTTTAAAAAATTTTATGTTTATCTTTTGACTCTGATGGGTCTCAAGATTCTCCATTTTAAATAGCTTGTACCGGTTACAGTATCTGTACATTTCTCAAGATATTTGACTATTTTCAAACTTTTTTAAACCTGTATTTTAAATCATACATTTTTAATGATTTCTTTATTCATTTATCAGAGTGGGAAAGCAAAATGCATAAACCTGCAATTAAAATAGGGTTACTTTTTTAAGAGAATTCGAATCTGCAATAAAAAGTAGGGGTTCATATTTAAAAGTTGCCACCCGTGTTAAAACCAGGAAGTGGGGGTGGAACATCAAGTTTGATGTCATTGGATAGCTTTTAAAAAAATTTGAATGTAAACCTTAACTTTTCAATCCGTTGTATATTTCTCGAGATATTTGACTATTTTCAAACTTTTTTTTTTAAGCCTGTATTTTAAATCATGCATTTTTAATGATTTCTTCATTCTTTTATCAGGGTGGGAAATTTTAGTTCTGAATGTACTATCAGGTGCCATAGTTGATAATGTTGACATAGTTGATAATGCTGTCACCTTAGTGGTGACCCAGACATGATATGAACTTGCTAACGTCAATGAATGGTCAGCATTAAACTGTTCATTTGCCCACGAAATAGCGCTCAAAAATCCTATCAAGTAAATACAATTTCCCGGACAAAAAGGAAAGAAAAAAATATATAATGAGCTATAAATAAATAATATGAACAACTAGTGGTATTTGTTTATCGAATTCTATCACAGATAAAATTCTGGAAGATGAGAATGTGGCGTAACTACCACTATAATTATTAAATGCAAATTCACTAGTGTATAATGCATATTAACTTTATTCCATCTTGATAAACCTTTTGATAGATGAATTTTGACATAGTCGATAATGAAATCCCCTTACTTTATTCATTCTTTATAATTCTAACTTGTAGTTCAATCTATTTAATAAGTCTTTTTTATAATTCTAATCAATTCTATTCATGAAATGAAATTCAAAATGAATCTCCTTGCAGAAACTATACGCATCAAGATATTAAGAATGGAAAATCTTCTACTGGTGCTCTTCGAGGTGTCTGTGCATGTGCCAGTGGTAAAGCATGCGACCCAATGGATCGACAGTTTGGAACACTGATTCCGTGGTGCTTACCACATACTGGTAATCGACATAATAATTGGAGTGGTCTGTATGGTCGTTTAGAATGGGATGGATTTTTTTCAACAACCATAACAAATCCTGAGCCAATGGGAAAACAGGTAAGTTTTTATTTATTTATTCTTAATGTATGTCCTTCCATTGTTTTCTAGTAAAAACATATTTAATACACAACAAATTGTTAACATACTTTTTTTCTTTTTTTTTTTTACTTTAATAATGTGATTTTTAAAGATGGTTACTCTTAAACTATATATATATTATATTTGTATTATAAAATTTTTTTTTTTGAAAAATATTCGAATTGATTTATTCCATTTATTTTTCAAATGTTTAATTATTTGTGTTTCGGTTCATTGCTATACTTCTTTTTTCTACACTTTTTGTTAATATTTAAAAAAGAGTTTTTTTAAAATAAAAATTTTCACTATACACTCAGGATTTAAAATAAATATTATTTGCAAGCTTCAATGCTATTCGAACATTTCTTAAAATAAAATTTTTGATTTCTTAATATCTACATATCTGCCAACTTTTAATCCTTTCGCGGATGATTTTCACCAGTGTTAGTAAAATGGAATTTAAATTACAATTTTAGGCAGAAACATTTGCTGTATTTTAAAAAAGCTTATGCAGACTACCATATTAATATTTTTTAAAAATAATGGTGATCAAAAAGATTATAAATTAAGTTTATAAATGCAAGGAATGTATAGAAAGTATACTCCTTACTGCCACTTTAAATATAGAAATACAATTTTACACTAAATGCGTAAAAGTTGGAAGGTATGTATCTATATTTATTTACTTTGAAGGAATTTTATTTTATTACCTCAGTTAAAAAATCAGAAGCTCAATTTTTTTTGCTTCTATTTTAGGGACGAGTTTTGCATCCAAATGAAAACAGAGTTGTAAGTGTTCGTGAGTGTGCCAGATCCCAAGGCTTCCCAGATTCTTACAGGTTCTTCGGTACAATATTGGACAGACATAGACAGGTATGGATATTTCTTGATTCTATTTATTGAAAAAAGTAGTTTTAATGGCTATTAGAGTTTTTTGGTTGAAAATGAGCTGATTTGCGACCCAAATTTTCATTCAAGTTGATTGTAGTGCTCTGCAATTCCAGTATTAAAAATTAAATTTTAAAGGAAAAATTACATCTACTTATGATTTTTTAATTTGCTTTTGTTTTTGCATAATTTTCAGTTTAGATAAAACAAAGCTGGATAGTTTGAACATACTTTAGACAGAGTTGTTTTATAACCTCCTACTTATAATTGTCTTCCTTGATCAATCATGTCGTAGAATAAATATAATTTTAATAATTTTGAGGTATATATTAGATTTTGGTAGTACTGTTGCATAGTAGTACTTTGAATTTTCATATGGGTATTTATTCGAAGTGTTAAGAGCAATGTATGCAAGTATTTTTAATGAATCGTTTTAGTATATAAACGATGTACTAAAATATTTAGCATATATTTTAGTTTATCGTTTTATAATAGTTCAGTATATATCGTTTTTAGTAAGTAAATTTGTGTATTTAATTTTAGATTGGAAATGCTGTACCGCCTCCTTTAGCTGCTGCAATTGGTCTTGAAATCAAGAAATGCCTCGCGTACAACGAATCAATAAAACAATCATCAGACTGTGAATAGATTATACTCATTTACTGTGATCATGCTTAATGTATTTTAATTATCAAATGTTTTAATTATCTTGACGTATCTTAATATTTTATCACCGCCCTATATTTAATGAATTTAGGGATAAGAAATATTCGATTTTACATGTTCCTGTATCATTTCAATATATCATGTGGCATTCGACGGGATTACGTTTTTTAAATGCCTGAAAAAATATTTTATTGTTTAAATTTATATGTATATTTTTAATAGCATTTGTAAATTTTCACTTTTATTTCATAGAATTTAAAAAAATAAAGTTTTTCAACAAATTTTTGCATTTTTTTATATATCTTTCATTACAGTGGCCATTACACAAATGCTCATTTGCTGTTCCACAGATGTTATTTTAACACTGATTAGAAAGACCAAACTGAACCATTTATTCCAATATAGTAAATAGAGCCACAGTGGCTCAGGTGATGGAATGTTCGCCTCCCGACGAGGTGTCCCAGGTTCGAAACCCAATGGTGGCTGGTTGATACTAATTTTGCTCCTCACTCACACAAACCACTGTGTTGAGGTGAAGTATCCCCATGGGTTAGAATCCCCTTGCTGTAGGGATAACTGGGGGAGGTTTTGCGGTTTTCCTCTCCAGGTAATGCAAATGCGGGTTAGTTCCATCAAAAAGTCCTCCATGAAAGATAATTTGTCCCAATGTTTGATTTAAGAGTTCCCATGTTTTCTGGCTTGGGTTTAAAACTACTAGACAACAGAGTTAAATATTAATAGTCCACTCAGTACTGGGTCGGCTGTTCAATGCCGGTTATGAATAAATAAAAAAATGTAGTGAAGACCAAAATTTTTTTTAATTCTAAGAAAATCAAACCAACAACAGATAATGAATATTTCTGAATTTTCAAAGTGCATTTTTTCATTGACAATGAATCAGTGGATAACAAAAGACTGGCGTAAATGAATCAAACAGCTCTTTCTTAGTTACTGCTCGATAGAAGTAAAAACAATTTTCTATAAATGAAGAAAGAGTGACAGGACTATCTATACTTATCCCAGTAATAATCTATGGTAATGAAATATTGCCTGCTTTTCTTCATTGAAAATCAGAAGTGTATTGTATTCTTGTGTGGATGATAACAGCTTGATCCATCGTTCCTACATTTATACTCTGGTATGCATTGTCTTGCTTTACCAGCTCTGTCACAAAAACTATTAATTGGATGTTAATGATACCCATTAAGATAACTTCTGTAACTAAAAGTTGTAGGTGTCGTTTATTTAAGTCGCACTAGAGCAGCACAATGGGCTATTGGTGATGGTCTGGGACATGCCATTATGATTTCGATCCTCGGCAGAGATGGCATCGCTGCTTCTGCAGCAGACGACCTATATGCGAAGTCGAGCACTTTATGGTAGAACAGTTCAACAAGGATAAATACCACACACCCTTGGTCCTTTCGTAAACTGATCCAAGTGGTCACCCGTCCGCACACTGACGGCAACCAGTGATGCTTAACTTCGGTGTTCTATTGGTAACCATGCCATATCGATCAGTCCACTGCAGGACTCTGTAACTGAAAGATTTACAAAAAATTTTATAGAAATTTGAAAAAAAAAGTTTGAAGTAATTTTGTTTAGAGAAGAAAAACGGTAACTTCTGATGCTATAGAAAATGAAGATTTATAATAGTTAGGGTGGAAAGATCCTCAACATCACGTTAGATTTTTGTACGTCGGTTGATGAAAATGTTGAAACTTCTGTGATTTCAGCTGAAAGAAATGTTGCAGAAACCAAAAAAGTGCAAAATTTTACTCTAGAGTTGGATCACAACCAGTCTCAACATTCACAGGAGTCCTCAAAGCTTTGAAACTACAGTCAAACCCCGCTATAGTGAACCTTCAAGGAACCGAAATTTCAGTTCACTATAACCGGGTGTTCACTATATCCGTAACGCAGGCAATTTAACTAATGGTTCCCAAACTCCTCCCTTTTATTACACACCATTCAAATAAATGACTGAAAAATATTATGTAGTAGCAAAAAATGTGTTCTTTTTCATTACTCTTCGTCTTGCGTACAAAAAAAATTATTAATCATTAGCTGATGAGCAATCCTCAACATCAGTTATAGAAACACTTCCCGACTCTCAGATAATTTTTCCTGAATTTCTGTTATTCCGTTTTTTAAACCTGTCTAACCAGCCATTCGAGCACATGAAAGTAGTCTCATAAAATCACTTAGCAAATTTATCCATATTTGTCCAGATTGCGGCTTCTTCGAATGGTGAATCACTTCAGTAATGCTTCTTCAATATCCTTGTGATCTGCTTTTCTTAACTTTTTTCTGCCATCTAAATTTTTTCATGAGCAGAAATTATTAGTTGCCTATTTTTCCATATGTTACAAACTTCAGATTTGGATAGTTTATATTCCCTGAAAATATTAAATAAAAAAAAAAATGAAGAAAGAAATCAGTCGAAGACAAAAAAAAGTTCATTATATCCAACTTCCTCACTTTTTTGGTTCACTATATCCACAAAAAATAACATGCGTGTATAGCAAGACACGGGACCGAACATATGGTTCATTATAGCAGGGTTTGACAGTATTAGTAACTTCACACTAATTTACAAAATGAGAATAGCAATCAGAAATAAATGATGAAAGTATATTGAATGAGAGGGAAAAAGTGTTCAAACTAAAATTTCTATGTATTTTAAATAAATGTGTTCATCAATGTGATTGTTCATCTTTCTTATACATAGTAAATATTTTAAATTTATTTTGTTTTCATACATTTTCAAGTAATTATTTGATATTTTATGTTAACTCGCATTCGTTGTTTTCCTTTATCGTTCACAATGAATGGTACCATAAGAAACGATCGAGCGAGATTCTAATATATAACTTTTGTAAATTTCTTTACAAAATGTTCGATATATTTATTATTCTTATTTTTCTTTTTTGGAAAGTGTTATTAAGTTTATTGGAGTTAAAGCACCTGATATTAACATTCTTATTGATTATTTTTTTTTTTTTTTTGCTTAAAATTTTAGTTTTATTCTCTTTCTTTTTAAAAAAAATGGCTGTTTGTAACCTAATATGCTTGGAATTAAGAACAGAAATTAAAAATTTTAAAGGCTGTGAATGGTAGAAATTTATTTTTGTGCAAATAAATTATTTGTAAATATTTGCTAGATAATGACCTCACATTATAATGTCCATTTTGCTTTAGACCACTGAACGGTTATATGAAACATTGTTTTATGAATACTGTTTCTAATTTTCAAAGTTTGTATGATTATTAAAAGTACTTCGAACACAGCTGGCCTTTGGGGTGCTATTCTCATCCCTCCTGGACATTTTCAGATGATCAAAAATTTCATTTCTTTATTCAATTTCTAAAAGCTATCCATCTACTGTAAAATACATTCACTTCGCGTTCACATTATTGATAAACGATAAACAGCAAAAAGAGATCCAAAAATGCCCGTCAGTATCATCATTATCTCAACTTTTTTCGCTTAAAAAATTTGACTAATACTCAGCGCTGTGAAATTTATTTCACTTTCTGAGTGTTCTCTAGCAGTTATTTATGTAAGTAGTAATTTTTTTATTATTTTCTTTCAGCATTTCTGCAAGTTGATATCATTTTTTTTAAAATTTTATTTAGCCACTTAAGTTTCTTTCTAGCTTTTAGTTTATACTTTACATAATTACATTTGATACTTTTAACAGGATTTTCTTAAGGTCAGGGTACCTGGAATTGTCAAGTAATTTGATGCTGGAAAAGAAAACAAAATTCACTAATTTATAATACAACTAAATATTTAAAAAAATTGATTTGTAAACAGCCCCTCTGTTTTCATAAAACTTTATTTAATTGAGGTTTTTTTATTTTTTTTTTTTATTGAGTTTTAAAAATTCTGAAATAACAAATTGGTAAAAATAGATAAGATACCATGGAACAGTGCATTTACAAGGAATTTTATGAATTTTGATACTTTATCATAAGTAATATATAAGATGGCTGTAAGACTGGTGACTCTTTTAATAATCTTCATCACATTGAGTCTTAAATTTTTCAGTTCTTGTGCATGATACTGCTTCTTTATGTAATTTATATTCTTCTGTATTATACAATTTTCATGTTTACTGTAAATTTTTGCTTAGTGAAATTGAAATGTAATATTTAAAATTTTTTTTCTTCTTCAAAATGCAAATCTTATTGATTAGAAAATATATTTGTAATAAAATATTATTTCGAAGATATTGTTTAGAATGTTTTTTTTTTTGCACTTTCAAGGTGGCAAATGGTAAAAGAAAGACAAGTGATTCAGATAGGGACAAGTGACCATGATTTATATACATGAGTATTATAAAATATTCAAGTTTACTTTTTAACTTTTGGTGAGTGAAATTTTGTTTCTCACAAAATATAATAATTATCATATTTTCTTTTAAAATGCAAATTTCATTGCTTATAAATAAAAAAATATTTTTTTGGTGAAATAGTGAGGGGAAGATATAGCAGGGTGCATAACCAAATTATTCAACAAAAATAAGCAGTTTTTAAGCACTTTGAAAAAATATCAGGCAGGATTGGAAAGTTTTTGATAATTAAGTATTTTATCTTGTTTCAACCGTCATGTAAAAAAAAAAGGAAAAAAATTCTTTTGGCATTGTTTTTGACAATTGTCAAAAATCATGAAATTTTGAATCATGTAAAACGAATAGCATTTTCATACGCTACGAACTGACAATACGCCTAAATAGATTGGGGTTGAATTAATTGTGAAAACGCTGAATAGAACAATGTGAAACACTGCACACACAATGTGCACACTTTTGCATAATTTGAAGCGAAAATCAACATAGTAAGGGAAAAATCTCATTTTGAAAAAGGGAAAATTAAGCACTTTTTAGAAACACCCAATGAAAAAAGCACCTTTAAGGGCTTTTAAAAAATGAAAAAGAACCTTTAAGCACTTTTTAAAAACGCTACGCACCCTGTATAGCTTGGTATTTTGTTAACATTTTCCTGGTGCTAAATGGTAAAAGAAAGAAAAGTGATCTAGATTGTGACAAATTACCATCTAACAAATGATTCTCAACACGACTCTGAAGTGGAAGAAGTTATACTCGAATCACATGAATACCATGTCATGTTACCCCCCAAGAGTAAAAAGAAACAAGTCAAGTAAGTCTTTTTCTATTTTTCATTCATCATATAGTGGTATTCCTCAAGTAATGAAATGTCAGTCTTACTCATTTATCAAAGTTTGCAATTTGACTAGTAAATATGAAATTTTTTGGAATTAAAATAAAACTAACAATCCGGAACTTGAAGTTTCGTTTATCGACATTATTTCGAAATAGTAAGACAGTAATAAATAATGTTTGGAGTGGAGTGTAACACTAATAACAGTTTAACAGGTTTTTCAGTTGTTCTAGTGTATTTGATACAAAATCTTGTATTGATATTTCTGCCTTTTGTGTGTTCATAACATCCCATTTCCCCCTGAGGTACAAATGTGAATTTAAAATATTTGATTTGAAACATCGTAAGATTTGGATTATAGTAATGCAAGCAAAAAATATTCAATAGTTCAAACTTTAGGACTGTATACTAAATATATACATGGTTCAGACATATAATAAAGCAGGAATCAATGTTAGAGAATTCAGTTATTTAATTAAAAAAAACTCAATTAACATTTTTACATTATCAAATATTTGTGGTGATGAATTCAGAAATCATACACTTATTTACTATTTTCAGCAAATGTGGTAACTAGGGGGACGTTTTGTAGTTTCACAATTATTGATTTCTCTCTTATCTGATTTTAAAAATGGTCAATTCTAATCAATAATACAGTAATTATAAGCAAGAATTTTTAAATAGGTGAATTGTGAGACTTTTACACAAAAATGTTAAGAAACATATTCACTGTATTTTCATTTCAAGATTATTAAAACCTTAAGTTATTTGCTTAAGGAAGTCCTTAATTCAATTGTAAATTTTAAGTGAGTAATGGCATCAGTTAATATTAACTAAATAATTTATACTGGTTATTTTTTTTAATGCAACAGTACCTACAATAAAAAAAGTTATAAATTTAAAAATTAAAATTTTTTTTATTTAATAAAATTTTTTATTGATCTCAAACTATTATGAATTGTTCAGAGCTCCCATTAATAAAATTATACTGGAAACTATTCTAAAACAAAGTAATTCAGAAATCAAAAATTTTATATTTTGCTATAAAATTTGTCTATTTTAGTTTTTTTTTTGTTGTTAGTTGCTTGTTCTTGTTTTAAAAGTAGTCTGGTATATGCACCCATTCTAAAAAATGACCTAATTTTTTTGAAAAATGTTGTAGTGTGGACCAAATAACAATATCAGGACAAGGCCTGGAATATTTATACCTTATGCAGAATAGAAACAGGCAGTCAGGCGAAATAAAGATGATTTTATTTATGTATCTTTTTACATAGATCACTACACTTAACATTCACAGTTGTGCTTGAAAAATACTCAATGGAATTTGCAAACAAAAAAGTACAAAATTATTGCCACTTAAATAATTAACGAAGTGCAATGATAAAAAAACAATTTTGAACATTTATTTAAGCTTCCCTAATAAAAGAAAATTATTACTAAAAAACAAAATTAAAAGTCATTAATAAATTTTAAAAAATTTGACATTATAACTACTATACTTTAATAATATGAAATATAAGTCATTTAGATTAATGAAACACAGACATTTTATCTAAAACACATATTTACATTTTAAATACAAGAATTAATACTTAATCACATGACTAACATAACATCAATTTATAAAATGTATAGAGTAATTCTTAAATACTCATAGTTCTGAATATTTGAGAGCTTTTCAAAACTGTTAATTAAACAGAAAAAGTCTAGTTCAAAAACCAGGAAGCATCATTATTGGTTATACTAATTTGAATATCACAAAGTTCATACATCAGTACAAGCACAATTATAAATCCTACTATACAAGAGGAAATTACAGTGAAATGAAATCTCAAATAAAATCTCAAAAATATGTACACTTTATCACCTTCAATAGCATTCTATGCTTTGATATAAAAAATAAAATCTTTTGATACAATTTATATACAGGCATGTAGATTAATTATAACTGTCAATTTTTTAAAAATTTATTTTATAACACTTTGCATTCCTTCGGAGCAACATCACAGGCCACTACCTGAATTTAAATTTTTTTATACCTTATTATTTAATAATCACTTTGTTCTGCGTTTTAAAGCATTTAGTGCCAGAGTTGTTCTAGATTCGTTTCATATAAATTATTATACTTGTATCACATTACCGGAGGAACTGTAGTTCCACTGTTCCAATTAAGGAGAAACTTACCTTACTTACTTTATAAAATACTTTTAAAAGAGCAAGTTCTACGATTCTTATGTTTTCGATTCTTAATTTATGATGTCTATGATTCTTAATTTAGTCAGGTCTTGGAGTTAAGAGTAAATTTTTATTTTTCAAAACATATTAGTAAGTGTGAATTACAGTAAAGAACAACTTATTAGAGGAATTATATATATATACATACTGATGCCCTTGATACAATTAAAATATATATACATTGGATACTATTGTTTAGAATTTCCTGCTAAAAAATATCTTGTGATAAAAATAGAAGAAAAATAATTTTTTTGATAAATATCTTAGCTTTTCAAACTTTAATATTTAATTTCTTTTTGTTCTTTTTCAAAACAATTTTTTGATTTTTAGTTTTTGGACTCAAAAATACACAAATATAATTCTAAAATGCAGTCAAAATATATTCCACTGACGTAAAATCTGTCCACTGACGTAAAATCTGTGTACTATTCATAAAAAAATAACTAAAAACAATAACTTAACTAAAAACATATATTGTCAGTGAAAGATACTGTAAGTAAAAAAGATATCACAAAAGGAAATGTTGGCATTTAACATTAAAGTAATGCAAGAATAATTTAAAATATCATTACATCAATTTTACAAAAAGCTCTGTTTGTTCTTAGGCGTAGGATACTTGGAGTTCTTCTACCCCAAACTTTCCGTGCTTTGCTCTGTAACGGGCAATATCCTTGCGAGTAACTATACCGACAACCTTAAATGTAGAATACTAGATTAGTAATCATAATTAAATTGACGGAAAAATTTGAAACAATATAAAAGCACTTTAAACCAGAGATGGCAAGTTTGTTCCACAGTGGAAAAAACCACCCTATAAGAAATAGGTTTCTTTTGGATAAAATGCCTACTCTGTTTAATGTTACTGTGGGCATACCCAATGGGATACCTGCAAGTGACATAGTGTTGGGTATCTAGATCCTGATTGGTAGTTAAAACGTGGCATTTGTTTACGATAGCAACTGTTCTTTCCATTCTATTCCGAGTAAGCTAGACCCGTCAAGTATCAATTCAATGACACTTTCTAAATTCTTTCACTATATATTTAGATAGAGACTTAACACAAAGACAGGCACGATGGAACATAAACTAATTATGTATCGCAGTTGCCAATTACACAAAGCAAAAATTTATCACTGTTACAATAAGATACAGAAACAAATAATACATCTAAGTTAAATAAAAGAAGTAGATGAGAAAATTTCAACTAATTCTGACTATAATGCAACTATTTGCAATTATTTTTGGCATGAGGCGAAAATTATCATATAATTGCCAAAAATTATCATATATTGAAAATTATCATATTATATAAAAATTATCATATATGACAATTAAGTCATTAACAAAATTTTAGTCATATTTTTGATGAATTTTTGTTCTTATTTAGGCAACTATTTTCCTAGTTTTTGGCTACTATTTTCATGCTTTAGGCTATTGAAAGCAACACAGGTCTTGATACCGACTTATGTTTTCAGATCTGGTTAGATGTATGTGTTTTTCGTAATTGCAAAAAGATTGGAAATAAAGGGTTTAATAAAGAGAATCTCAAAAATGAAAACTCATCATCATTGTATCTGAAATCGTTTAAATTAATTATTCTAATTCAAATTAACTATTCAATTCTATTTTAAAAGAATGTTGTTAATACTTTGAAATATTGAATTAATATTTCAGATGTATGATATATTAATATTTCCAAGTAGTCAGATTACAACAAAAACTAATATCTATGATGAGATCAAAACTTTGTGGGTAAGCGCTAATTTGAAATTGACAGTTAAAAAGTACTCCCCCAACTCATAGTTGAGAAAACACGTATGAATTTTTTCATTGATGAAGAAAAATTACAGAATGTGTGTGTGATGCCACAATTGGCATTACATATTTAATTCCTATCTTTTAAATAATTTTCATTACTTAAACTTATTTTTATTAATGGAATTAGATTTAAAATAAATCAAAGACTTAATCTTTTGAAACCAACATAAAATATTTATTCTTTTCTTATACATCATTGTAACGGATACTTTTTATTTCATTCTAGGCAGACTTATTAATTCACTGTCGCCTCTAATCGAAAACAAAAATCTATTTATAACTTTTTATTCTAATTTCTAACCGAAAATATGTTTCAGTAGATGGTTGTAATAATTCTCATAAATTTGTTGGCGACTCGTGATCGCCAAGGTGTTCTTTTAAACCCAATATTGATATGCTGGTTGGCTTTGTTTTGGCTATGGTATATTATGATAAATTGCCAATTTTGGATCTCCTACCCATACTTTCTATGTCAGTTACGAATAATTATATTCACTTTTAATTTCAAAATTTGTGGAGGCTGGGAGCCCTTTGGGGCCTCCCCAGTCTCAATTTCTAACCGTCAGAAATGATATTCTGGCTTTATGATCTCTCAATGGAGAGTATTCTGATTTCATCCCTTTGAGGGATTTCATATTTCTGTTTTGGATGCAGAAATGGCCATTATCTGTCACCATTTATGCTTTATAAAATAAATTCATTTTGACGAGTTATATATTGTTTCCTAGAGACTTGTTTAATTCATTCATTATTGCCCAAAATGAACAATCATGAATTCCACCATACGAGTATTGGCGGCTACTGATGGAGAAACAAACCTCCGTCATAGTGTGACCTGCCAAAAGAGATGTTTTTTCAACGGGCAACCCTTTTGCTTCGATAGTGACGTAATGTTACACTTGCAGGGCCCGACTTAGCCTAATTGGGGCTCGGGGCAAAAACTTCTTTTCTCCCTCTGCTTCACTACTTCAGTATTAAAGAACCGAACTTTATGAAAGTATTTAAATTTTTCACCTCATTATAGATAGATAACAAGAAAATTGACTAGAACCTATAATAGCTATTATGTGCTCCCTACACCTTCAATCATCAGACGAAATATCGTTCCGTCCATTTTTTTATTTTATTTTCGGACAATTTTATGTTAATAATGCGACGGCAGTTTCCGAAATGCATTTTTCTGATTGTTAACTTTGTGATCTGGAATGCGAAAAATTCATATCCTTGCTGACATTAGGGCGGAATTCAGCTAAATTTCCGCAATTACGATAGCTCAATTAAGTCAATCAGAAGTCCATATTTTTGTAAACCTATCGCATTTTGTGATATGTAAAAATACAGGTTTTTGATTGGTCCAATTTTCACCCTAGGAAGCCATGGATTTACGAAATATAGACTGCTTGGGTTCAAATGATGGATTAGTGAAGAAGTTAACATAAAGCTGACGGATTTTACACTGTACTGATATTGTTTTTAAAAAAAGTTCAATGAAGAAGGAAATGTAAAATAAACTTTCTGTACGATTTGGGGGGCTCTGGGCAACTGCCCCGCGTGCCTCTGTCTTAGCTTAGTCAGGCTCTGTAACACTTGCATTAGGAAAGCAGTCACTATCAGATAGCAATGTAATGAGTTCGAAGAAATCAAATTGAAAAAGCATATTTCAGTTGCATAAGGGTGTAGCACCCCAATGCAACTGGAAAGACTAAAGATTAAAAAAATTCTTAGATTAAAAATTATTCAAATTTTTTTTTCGAGGGGGAAGGACAGTATAATATTCTATAAAAATATAATGAATATCACAAAATTCTTTTTATTATAGACATTATTCCAAATGTTTGTTTAGTCTTAAAGTACTAATCTGTCATCATATTAACCTAATTAGATGTAAGGTGTTAACAACAAACTGAACACAGTTTAGTATAAGCTTGAAATGTATTCTTATAACATAACATAAATGAAAGCAACAAAAAAAGAAAAAAGAAAACTTACAGAATTTTTCTCATCGGTAACAGGAAGGTGCCTCAATCCAAGAGCTCTAAACAATTTAAATATCCTCGGCAAGGATGCTTTCTAAAAAATTATAGAGCGAAAAAAAGTAAGCAATTGAAGGGATAAAAAAGTAAGAAATGCTCGAAAATTAAAAAAAAATTAACTTACGTGCGAAATGGTGTAAGCAGATGAATTCATAAAGGGTGATAGGTCAATAGTGAAATTTCGTTCACAAGGTGAAATATGAATTTGCTAAAATTGAAAAAAAAAATTTTTTTGAATAAATTTCAAACAAATTATTTCAGTACATAAATGCAAAAATATTAAAATTTACCTGTATTGTGGGATGGCGAGGATATGAATCTCTGAAATCTTTCAGCGTCAATTTTTCAATATGATTAGTTTCCTCAAAAACCTGTAGAAATAAATAAAAATTCAAATTCTTAATGAATATTTAAAAATTTACAGCTAATTGTGCATGTAACATAATATATATATATTATGTAATAATGTGTAATATAGCAAATACAAATATTTCACAAATTGAAAAGCAAAATCAACGTCACAATCTTCACATTAATTCTGAGTTTGTATTCATTCCTTTTTAAATTAAGTAATTTTTTTGCATTGTAGTGTTATAATATGTTTAGTATTTTAATATAGTCCTATTACATCTGTTTTGCACAGTAAAAAAATGGCTAAAATAAATAGATTCTACTCAAATTTTAACAAAATATCAATCTGTTAGAAATCATAAAACTTAGTAACCTATGCTAAAATTAGCTGTTAACTCCCTCTAGCAAATGAATATCTTTGACTATATCAGGGGTGATTGTGAGCCCAACTCAAAAATCCTGAAAATTTCTTGAGTAAAATCATTAATGACGAATTTCAAAATATAAATTAAAATCATATCTCTTTATAAATTTAAATCATTGATATTTTCAAAACATGAAATTCTAAATAAATTATGTGCAGCATAATTTAAATGAATAATTATGTAGAAGTTTACTTTTATCTCTAATCACATTTATTATTCTACCAGAAAAAATACTTACAAATGAAAGAGATGCCAAATATAAATTCTAGTTCTAATATTTTTAAGTAAAATATACAAGAATTTTTATACATAAATGTGATCGGTGATTTCTTGAAAATTCTGGACCTTGGATTTCTGGAAACTTCTAGATCACGGTTAGCGAAAAATCCAGAATTTTTCAGGAGCACAATCATCTCTGCTATATTATTAGCATATGCGTCTCACAGGATGTCTCTAATTTATTGATACAGCCCCCCCCCTAACTTAGGTTAGTTTAAATATGAAACACTCTAAATTTCCTACAGAAAAGCAATGTACATTTTTGTGAGCATTTCGATTACCTGCATAAAATTCTATGCAACAAGCAAATATTTTGATAAATTTTTTTATGACTTTATTTGTACTCTCAATTATAAAATATTTTTCTTCAAAAGAATGTCTATTGAAATGCTAAAAAAAATAACTAGGAACAATCACTAAAATATTGCATTTGTATTACCTTGTGTTGCAATAATACAATCAGCTGCCATCTTAAGATCATCCCTCGGAATGTTCCGAAAGTATGGACGTTGTCGTATGAACTCTAAATAAAAAGAAAATGTTATTAAATATTAGTTTTTTAGTTACTCAAATCCACAGAGCGCAATTAAGCAGAAGTTTTATATTAAAATAAAATATACAAGGTGTATATTTCAAATCATGCCAAGTCCATACAAAATTCTTATAAAAGACATAAAAATGTATTTTAGGAAGCACCTTACATTTACATTTAAGATTTTTATAGTTTTGAAATTTATATGAATAAAACAGAAAGCCTATTGTTTGCATGTTAAAGTAGAATGTTTTTCAGTATTTTCTTTATACTCTGTGAACTTGTAAGAATTTTGAACTACAAAACTCACAAATAAAATATATCCTTTACAGTGAAAGCTCTCGGGAGCGACCACTTTCCGTTCCACAGTAAAATAGTCATTGATGGAGGTTGGTCATTCTTAGAGGTTACCTCCACTGCAGGGCCGGATTAACCTATAGGCACACTAGGCACGTGCCTAGGGCCTACGAAAAACTTGGGAGAAAAAAATTTGTTGACAAAAATAATTTAGCTTTAAAAACAACAAGTGTATTTTGCACAAAATTATGAAGATACAAATAAAAATATAATATTTTTCGGTAATAAATTATTTTGCAGAATCTTATGATCTAATATATTACTTTTTTGCGATTTTTGGATTCAACGAAATCTTGTATTATGCTGTCGAATTCCAAACTACGCATTTTATTAAAATAGTATTAAATCATTTTTTTTCTATTAGTAAACATTTAACCTACCTTGCAAATTTATTTATAAATAATTTCAAAAGATTTACTTTTGACAATGTTAATTTCCTTCACTTAGTTATCATAGTAGTATCATGAAAACTATGAAGCTATTTGTAGTATAAATATTTCTTGTAATTAATCTCACTATCAATTTCACTGTTTTCTTTGCTGGTTTGTTGTTGTATTGTTGACGTGAAGTGTTTACATAGTTATCGATCGAACTAATCATAATGGTATTATCGATATCAACTGCAATATCGGCAGTATGTCGGTATTGCAGATAAAGTTCGATAAACAAATTTGTAAATTAAAATCCATATTAATAAAAATGTAAAAAAAATATGCAAGAAAATTTTAGCATATATTTTGAAAAGATGGAAGGAGGGGAGGGCCTACGAAAGGTATAATCCGGCTCTGCTCCACTGACATCAAAATTGTTATCGAAGGTACTTGATTTTTCGCAATCGATTTCAATTTTAGTCAGTGTCATTTTCTTGGTGCTTCTCTTGGCGACATGAGAAGACATATTGATGAATAAAATTTAGCGTCTATAAAAATTATCCAAAAATCATTAGGGGTAAAAAAAAAATTGCCAATTATGAATGACAAAGCTATTTTAAATAAATAAACAATCTTTTGTTTAAGTTTCCATTTAATTTCATTTAAAAATTAGTTAGCTTTAAAAGATGAAGAGGTTTGTTTGAGAAACTTTTTTTCTTCCTAAAATAATTTTCTTTTTCTTTCTAATTTAACTTTCAACTCTAGAAGTGAATCATTGATAGCATCATTTTTAGTGCACTCTGACTGCAATGTGAGGTTGTATCAACCAAATGAACTCTCTAAATAATAGCCTCACACAAATATTTTGAATACATTTTAATCTACTTATTTGTTTTGATAATTTTTCCTGTTTCTTTATTTGACCTTTTCCGGGTAGCTGTGAGAGGTTATGATGGTCTCTCTTAAAGGTTTTCTTCAACAAAGTATATGGAAAAAATTCTGTGCCCACCAAAAATGGTCGTAAATAGAGGCGGTCAGTACATAGAGGTGGTCTTTCTCCTTGAGGTTTCAGTGTAACATATTTTTGTTTTTACTTTATCAGATTTTTTTTTTAAAAAAGCAATGCATTTTAATAAGCAGTTGTTGATGGTATATAATAAAAATTATCCATGAATATTAGAATAATTTTACGAATTTGGGAATATACAAAGATAAACAAAATGATATTATTTAAGTTAAACATTAAGGTTGCTGAGTAAAAAATGTCATTCTAAGATTTGCAGCATTAAATGTAAATAAACAGAATTAAATTTATAAAATTCATGCAGGTAGAAATTAATGCAATTACCAAATGAATTACCTCTTAATGACTTTAACATTGTTTAAAATACTTAAAAAACTTCACAATAAAGTAGAAGATCTATTTAAAAATTTATTAAATTTTCAAAAGTTATTATATTATCAAAAGCTACACATAAAAATGTTATTGAAAAGAAAACCCAATTATTTCTGTGGCTTGTTATTGTTAAGGTTGCAAATAAAAATTACAATTCAAATTTATTTTATTGTTTTGACATTGTTATAGTTGTAAGAAACTAAATCAAACTAGTTAAATTCATATTAAAATCATATAGTTCATTCCTATATAAAAATAGAAGGCCTGGTAAAATGTAAATAGCTACTTGTATTGAAACACACACATATACAAAAAGAAAATTTGTAGAAAGAGAATAAAATAACACAGTTTGTAAATATAAATTCCTTTCAATATTACACCTTTTATATTATTTTTACTCGCATCTAATAAAGGAAAAAAAATCATATATTTATATTCAATTAGAAAAATTATTAACTTTATTTAATAAAGCAAATATTGGTACCTCGGTTATATCAACAACAGGAAAACCATTATGAGATTCTGTCTTTAACATATGCTCAATGAATCCAACTTTTTCAACTACTTTCAAGCAAACCACAGGATAGCTCATGATTTGGCTAATGAAAAACAAATATTTATTCACACATTTAAAAATCATATTTCAATACTTAAGAGGGTTTGTGCCAAAGTTTTAAATGACTTTTTCAAGGTTTTTTATGCACAGTTTTTAGTATCTCTTTTTTCACAATATTTTCTTAAATTTAATCCAACCATACTAATTTACATTGAATTTTAAATGTACAAGCTATTGGACTTTTACTAAGCTTTCACTAAAAAAGAAAATTTAAAACATAAACTAAAAATTTACATTAAAAAATATATGATTAGGTTTAACATTATCCATATCTATCATAAAGTAAATTAAAAAAATTAAAATAATGAATTGTAGACTATATATGTGAAGTTATTGACTTCTTTTTTATGACTATAACATTTACATTACATTCATTAAAGTTATGTACATTAAGGCTGCACATGAACAACTTTTTTGTTTCTCAATGAAATAAATACTTCGGAAGAAAAAATTGAAAGAAATATTATATTCCACAAGAACAAATTGAAAGATAAGGCTTTCAGCATTCTAATTCTTCATAAATCTTCACAGCGTCTGAGCCCCCATACTGTAGCATCCACCATGTAAAAGGGGGGAAATCACAAAGGATTTGTAATTACAAATTTTGTGGTGGGTTAAATTTCATTGATGGAATCAGAGTTTGTCAGCCTCAGAGCCTCCACCCTGTAGCATCCACCATGTAAAAGGGGACAACCACAAACGATTTGTAGCTTACAAATTTTGTGGTGGGGTTATGGTGGTCATTGCTGGAATCGAAGTTGCTTACTCGCAGCCTTACAAACATTGAGACAAAAATACTTTCTTTTTTTTTTACTGAATAGTACAAATGGGAACAAATTTGACGTTGTTCTTATTACATCTAAAATTATAAAAAATTTATTTGGTTGCCAGAAATCATTAAGGTAATATAATAGGTAAGTGAAAAACATTATTTTTTTGTTTGTTTTAAATTGTATCAATTCTTTTCCTCATCAATTTAAACTCCTTCAAGGCAGTAATGAAATATTTCCTTGACTTCTTTCAAAAATTAAAAAATCTTCCTGACTTTTCCAGATCCTTAGACACCCTTACAAAATGTGTGATAGTTACCTGGCACATATTGTGTACGAATATGGAGGAGGTTCCCATCCTAAGAAAGGGACACTTTGTAATTGAATGTGTATGTCATACAGCCCCTGGAAGAAAATACAATAATTTAGACAGAAAATGCAATAATGTAGACAGGAGTAATAGAAATCAGTACATTGCTAATAGCATAATTTGATAGACAAGTTACCTCATTAAATATATCTGCGACCCATTTAGAGATCATTACACAAAGCATAATGGGCAAGCCAAATGTGATGTTTCCAAGCGCCTCCATTAAAATAACAGTCAAACTAATTGTCATTCTAATTACACCACCAAGTGTGGCAGCAGCACCAACAATAGCAAACTTTGAATAACAAAGCGCCTCCTAGAAAACAAAAAACTTCATTAAAAAATTTTTTTTTCTTTCTAATACAAAATTTACAGAAAAACATTTTTTTCCAGTGTCTATAAATTTCATTTAAAATTAAATATGAATTTAAAGTTAAAGCATCACTAAGCGCCTCCATTAAAATAACGGTCAAACTATTTGTCATTCTAATTACACCACCAAGTGCGGCAGTAGCACCAACAGTAGCAAACTTTGCAAAACAATGTGTCTCCTAGAAAGAAAATAATTTCATTTTAACAATGAATTTTTTTCTAATCCACATTTCACTAAAACAAAAAATTTTTCAGTGTCCATAAATTTCATTTGAAATAAAATATAAATTTAAAATAAATAAATCAATTGATATAAATAAAACTGAATGTTTACATGTATATATGTTTTGTAAACAAATACACAATTCTAAACTGATTTCCACCAAATATAGTGTACTTCACTCAAAAACGCAGTGGTTATAACTGTTTATTTCAAGCAAGGCTGGTAAAAATCATGATTTTTTTTTAATCAAATTTATTTTTATTTAAATCAGACTTTTTGATTTAAATCAGATTTTTTTTTATTTTTATTTTACAACTAAAGCATCTGATAAAATGAATTCATAATAATCGATATTATTTAAAATCAATATTATATTTAAAATGATAATATTTCTTGCTAAATTGGTTAAAATTATTATTTAATTATTGAAAAATACTAATGAAACAAATAAAAAAATAGTTATATTTTCCCTAATCGACTTGCTAATCAATGTTAAAGATTAGGAGACTGCCAATTGGAGATTTATTGGAGAGTAAATTATACAGGTCTTGGTATACAGGAACTACATAAGTAATAAAACCACAGCATTTTAATAAACATAAAACTAGATGGACATTATGTGTGTGTGTGGGGGGGGTGAATTGTTATCGATATTGACAACCTTCGTCTATGAAAAGGTACCCCAACACAGAATCAACTTAACATGTCTTATATACTAGTGAATTGGGATTGTATTTTTGTAGTGGTAGATACACTACAGTACTTCCCTACCAGAATTATATCTGTGATAAAATTTGATGAATGGTTACCACTAGTTGATTCATTGCTGTTTTGTGAGAAGCCCAGAGAGCTGTATTAAGAGCACCGTACTTTTTGAGTGCTGATTGTGAGAGCTGTATTAAGTTCACGATTGTGGTCGCTCTTTTTTTGCCATTAGCAGTCGAATGAATATGTTGTACATTGTGTGTAATCATAACTGAGTAGCAACAGCGCGAGGAGGTGGATAATGTCGCAGTCACAAGTAGCAAGTCAACTGTTCAATGTGGAGCATCCATCTAATTAGGCGTGTCAGATTAAAGTGAGAGTTGCTGTCAAGATAGACGTGTTCACATCACGTCAGAAGGTCACCAATGTGGGGGTTGAGTTGATAGCAACCATGTCAACCTTCATCTATGAAAAGGAACCCCAACACAGAATCCAGTTAACATGTCTTATATACTAGTGAATTCGGATTGTATTTTTGTAGTGGTAGATACATTACACATTATTAAAATATGTTTTTTGCCTGCAAATTATTTTACAAACATTTAATGGAAAACTATAATTTAAAAGTTTCATGCAATTCTTTTTCACGTTTAGTTTCCTTTTTATTTATTTTTAGCATTTTCTGAAATACAATAGTTTACAAGCATATCCCTTTCATTATTTTTTAGTAAAAAACCTTCATTATCATTAGGTTTTCAATTATACCCTAAAGAAAGAATTTATTAATTATATTGTATGAAAAATATTTTATACTTAAGTTTATATTTTTAAAAAAATCAGTTCGTTTAATATGATGGCTTTTAAAAAATCAGAGGTTATTTAAATCAATTTTTCAAAGAATCAATAAAAAAAAATCATACCATTCTAACTTTAACACTTTCAAATTGCTAATTCACATTCTGCAGCCCAAAAAATAGTTTTCCGAAGAATTTATTAAATATTTTATAATATCAGTAATTCTTTAGCAAATAGCTCTATTTATAGTTAGTATGTTAATTTTTTGAATTCATAGTTTAAATTATTGATACAAATTTTTGAAACCTTCAAAACAACTACAGTAAATGAAATCTTAGTGCAGTATTTATTATATTTGTAAAAAGAATTCATAATTTTTTCCCCTATCTTCTGGAATGGCATCACTCTTTAAGATTAAAAAACATGGATTTACTATAAAAACTTTTCTTTACATAGCTTAATAATCATGTTGAGCTTAATCAAAATTGACTTACAGGTGGGAATCCAACATATAAAAGAAGCTTTGTAACTGCAATCCCGTACAATCTTCCCCATGCAGCCCCTACTGCCAGAGTGGGTATAAAAAGTCCACTAGATATACTTAATCCATAAGTCCAGCATCCAAGTAGTAAATAAGCAAAGAAATATATAGTGAGAGTCATTACATGCCACGTATCTAAAAAGATAAATATATATGTTCGATATTATACTGAAATATTCTTATAGAATATTTAAAGATCATACGTTTTCTTAATTGATCAAATGTATGAAAGGTATATTTCATTATATATTTCTTTCCAAAATAAAAAAATTTGTTTTGTGATGAAATTACATTTGATTTTGTAGACAGAAGAATTAATCAGCTAGCAGTAATTAATAGATTACAAATATTGTTTATACAATAGATTATCATGATTAATCAATCTGATTTGGATTATCAGGAAAGTATATTATCTGGAACAGTCTGAGAAGAGAAATATAGTGAGAGTCATTAGATGCCACATATCTAAAATATAAATATATATGTTCTATTTCATACTGAAATATTTTGACATAATACAGAATACTTAAAAATCATATGCTTTCTTAATTGAACAAATATAAAGGTGTAATATATATTTTATCTTTATTATTTTTTTCCAAAATAAAAAAATTTGTTTTGTGATGAAATTAAGTTTGATTTTATAGCCTGAATAATTAAACAGCTTGCAGCAATTAATGGATTACAAATATTGCTCATACAATAGATTATCACGATTAATCAATCTGATTTGGATTATCAGGAAAGCATATTATCTCGAACAGTCTGAGAAGAGAAATATAGTGAGAGTCATTACGTCTCTAAAAAATAAATATATATGTTCTATTTCATACTGAAATATTTATACATAATACAGAACATTTAAAAATCATATGCTTTCTTAATTGAACAAATATAAAGGTGTATTTCATTATATATTTTTCTCCAAAATAAAAAAATGTGTTTTGTGATGAAATTAAGTTTGATTTTATAGCCTGAAGAATTAAACAGCTTGCAGCAATTAATGGATTACAAATATAGTTTATACAATAGATTATCACGGTTAATCAAGATCGGATTTGGATTATCAGGAAAGCATATTATCTTCTACTCAACCCTTCATATTGTACTACACCTACCAGTAAACCAATCTTTTTTCTTTTTTGTATTATAACGTAAGTAATTGTAAATCTAAACGTAACATTAAAATTTATATCCATTTTTTTGCTTTTGTATAACTTAAAGTATCAATATTTTAGTGTGTGTGAGTTTTACTGCTTTTTTTAGAATTTATCATCAAAGTTTGCATATATTTGACTATTCCAAATATTTGCTACGCAGGAGTAAAGTGCTACCAGAACATTCTTCTTGCGGCTGAAGAAAATTAAACAGTAGTGAAATGGGGAAAATAACGAAAATATGTGAATAATTATAAAAAATTTTGACATTAAAAACTTTTTCTTGACAGTTATTAATATACAAGTTTGTAATTGATACACATTTTATAATAATTGAAGAGGTAAGTGAAAAAAACATAGTATGAATTTGAGAAAGTCAGCAGCAGAATTAAGAAAGTGTTCAAAAACCATCTTTTACCACTCAAATGTCAACATTTAACAAACTCTATTTAATTTATTATATGTCTCAAACTTTCAGGCAATCTATAACAATTTATTAGATCTTTTTTTTTCTAAATGAAAAAAAAATTTCATTGATATACATTTTATAATAATTGAAGAGGTAAGTGGAAAAAAATGTTAAGACTCATTTCTATCAATTTGAGAAAGTCAGCTGCAGAATTAAGAAAGTGCTAAAAAAAATCTTTTTCATATACAAAGTGACATTTTTAAAAGTAGTTTTTAAAATGTCACTTAACATTTACATTTAACACACAAATATCAATATTTAAGAAACTGTATTTAATTTATATGTCCCCTAATTTTTCAGGCAATCAAATACAATTTATTAGATCTTTTTTTTTCTTAAATGAACAAAAATTGAGCTCTTAAATTGATCTCTTAAACATCATTTTCAAAAATTGCAAGTGTAAAATAGTTAATTTAAATTAAAATTTATAAAATATTATATTAAAAGCAAAAACACTAACTTTCATCATCGTGTAGCAAACTTCTAAGGCAAGCTTCCGGTGTTTGGAGCCATATAGACCAAAATGTATTAAACTGACCATTTTCACAATCAAGCTAGAAAAAGAATAAAAAATATGATATAGATTTCTTTATTATGCATTGCACTTTTTACATAAGATTCATATAACTAAAAGGAAGATGTAGATAAAAATGAAAAACTTTTTGTAAACACGCAAGCTTGATCAAGAAACTTTCTGTAAGCAATTTATTGATTCTTGTAACTAGTTTCAACCCATTTGTCTACAAACAAATTTGACGGAATTTGTTTAAAAATCAATGATTTTTTTAAAAAGTGTTTAAAGTTTTGTAATACTCTATATTGATTATTATACAAACCAGCATATATTTCTTTAAATTTAATAGCAGACAGCCAGAAACGAAAGTTGTATCACAAATGAATCAGGATAGAAAATATGTGTCAAATCTGTCACATCAACATCTTTGGTGTTTTTTAAACTGCAACTTTGAAACAGTCGGCTGAGATTGAATGACTTCAAATTTCTTTTATAACCTTTTTATGTGTTCAAGAATAAGATCGATTTTTTTCCTTTTTCTTTTACAGGATTTTCAATAATTTTTTTGAATAGTTTTTTTTTTAGAAAAAATACAGGACAGAATAGAGGAATTTGGAAATTTTTATTTACATATATAATGCAATGGTAAAAATTTTTTCCTGACTTGAGTTTGCATGTTTCTGTTTATTATGTATATCAGTTAAAAGGTAATATTAACACATTCAAAACAATTTTTCAACTAACTATAACTATGTCCCTGACCTACTAATTGACTCACTTCTAGATTTCCACAGTGAAAGATATAATATGCAATTTCCAATATTAAAAAAAAAATCTGGAATTTTTCCGCTTGAAATAGAGTAACAATTAAAACTTAAATTTTAATAATAATATAGTGTTGATATAACATTTTAATTTACATATGTCCAAGTTTTTTCATTGAAATTAATATTATAATTAGCTTTTACTGACTAATATTTAAGAAAATTATCTCATTTAAACAAAGGTTTGTCACTTTTTTTTAATGAAAAAAGATTAATTTAACAAATCTTCCATCCATACTCTATTTAATAAAATATTTGTGCAAGTGAAATATTAGTCATTAATTAAGTGCTTTTCTTTCCTTTTTGACTAATATTATTGTAATTTGAGAATATTGAAACTAAATATTTTATCTTAATTTAAAGTTGTTTTTTTTTAGAATTTCTAATGCAGAAAAATAAGTTTTTTTTGTTGCTTTTTTTTCAACTATTTTAAATAAATGTATAGAACAATATTCTATACATTAATGTATAAAATATTGTTAATGTATGAATATTAAATAAATGTATAGAACAATATTCCATACATACAGAAAATTATATTATTTAAAACCAAACTTCGGTTAAATTTTAACTATATCTTATACTATGGAAAATAAATAAAATTTAATTACTTGAATGGGAAACTTAACATCTGATTGGTCATAGGGACTGCAAAAATGAATAAAAGTAGTCATGTAGGCTAAAGTAACACCAAAGGCACTAACAAGGACGGCTTCTAGAATTCGAGCTACAGGGTGCTTCACATACCTTTAAAAGAAACATTTGAATCAGGTAAAATAACTAAATATTAATAATTTAAATAATAAAAGAAACGTACCTCATTCTAAACACTGTCAACATATAGTTTACATGATTATACAAGGCACCCAGTAAACCACCTGTGAATAGTTTATAATTAATTTATTACAAATATGTATCATATTAATTTTCTATAATGATAATTACAAAAAACTAAATATTATAACCACAAATATTCTATATAGAATAAAGATTAAATTTATCTTGCTAGGAAAAAAATAATCTTTACACATATTTTTGAAATTGTCTTTGTGCTGAAAATGATATAAGAAATACGGGCAGAAAAAAAGAAATGCATGTCACTATATTGTAGGCATCATAAAAATATGAAGTACTTATTGTACTACTAAAACTAAACTCAGTGGCGCAATAGCCCATAGAGGGCAAAGGCCTACTTTGGCCATCTCAGTTTTCTTGACCTTGGACTCTAGGGTGCTGGAGCAGATGTTCTGGTTGGGTGGTCGGTCCAATGCGGAACCCCCAGTAATAAACTAATAAGTAAGTAAATATTATAACCACAAATATTCTATAAAGAATAAATTCATCTTACCCTAGTATTTAGTCCACAAGCATGCTTGCTATTAATTTAATCGACCCACTGAAGGAATAAAAGTTGAGACAACCTTGCCCAGTCCGAGGATCAAACCCAGGACCTGCAACACGAGAGCGCATAGCCCTACCACTCAGCCACCGGGACTCAAAGTATTAAATGTAGGCAACATAAAAGTATAAAGTACTTTAGGAAAAGTAAACAAAAGAATTTAATAATTTCTTGTTTCATTATTTATGAATAATGACTAAAGCCTTACTTGATGTATTTCAAGTATTTTTAAATTTTTCAAGTATTTTTTAAATTTTTTGTTTATTCAAGTATTTTTAAATTTTATTTATTAACTTTTTTTCAATTTCATGTTTTATTTATTTATTCTTATTTCATTTATTTCATAGAAAAAGACAAAAAAAGTAATTATAAATCAAAAGTAAAGTAAAACCAATTTATTTGAATTTTCCAAGACTAAGTAAAAGAACAATAATTTATTAAGTTTAAAATATTTAAAAAAATATATAATTGAATATAAAACGTACCAATAACACCCATGACCATATAAAGAGGAAGCTCCTTAAAAGTATAATCCAAATTCTAAAACAAAATTAATTGAGAAATTAAATGTACATTGTTCATTTATGAAGTGGTAAGATAATTAAAAATTAATATTTAACAATAGTAAGTCAACAAGAGTTGATTAGTTAATAAGACTACAGCATGTTAGAAAAAAAAACAAGCAAAAACAGCAATTAATCTAACAATTTTACTATCTAACAATTTTACAATCTAACAATTTTACTATTTTATATGTTTTAAGACATTCCTTGCAGATCAATATTTTTATGAAACTGCTTCAAATTAGTTTTAGTTTCTAGGATAAGACTTTAAAAAAAATTAGTAAGGCAACTCTAGGCACCGGTACATTAAGCTTCATAATTAGAGGTAATAATTTGAATTTCTTAATAAAAGATATACTGAATATTTAGATCTTGGAGTGTAAGTAAGCAAATTCTGAGTAGCAGTAGAATATTAGGCTCAGTACCAAACGGCGTATGAAAATCAAATTGACTATAAAATCATGTTCTCATCAGAAGGAAATAAATACCAAACCAAGAGCTAAGACAAATTTTTAAAAATAAAAAAAATACTTACATCAAACCGTCCAAAATTCACTAAACCAGGAAATGAAAGTTGTCCAGGATAGCCATGGTATTCACTCATGACAGAATTCAATGTGAAATATGACACCATTGAACAGAAAAACTAAAGAGAAAGAAAAAAAAAAGATTAGAAAAAGTATGAAGCAAACATCAATTTTATTCAGGTACTTTTTTATTGAAGAAACAAAATTTAACAGAAGTAAATAGTTCTGTAGTGCCATAGTAAAGCAAGTTTCGAGCCAAGAGCCTGGTCCTACACAGATATGCATGATATTCAAGAAAATTTTGTCACAATCGTGGAAATTTTTTTTAAATATTACTCTTTATAAAATAAAAAAAAGGCCAATATTTCCATATTTTTCCCAGTCAATTTTTAAAATGCAGATACAACAACAGAAAATTAAGTTAATAATGAGTTCTGCATTATAAAAAAAACCTTTTCCTTCATGTTATTGAATGAGGAAATATTATGCAGCAGGAAAGTTTTTGTACAATCTTTCCCAGGGACACAATAATTTAGAGTGATATCTTAATTCATGCTAAAATAACTAATTCTGAAATTCAAGCACAAATATTTTTATTGAAAGTTTTTCTGTTTTAGACAAAGCTCATTTCTTGATATGCTAGAAACTCAGAATTATCCTTTGAAGTGCGAAGATATTTCAGAATTTTTCATTTTTTTAATGCAAACCATGTGATTCACAATGGTTTGAAATCAGCAGCAGCTAAAATAATACCTATCACTCAATCTGTTATAACACAGTAGAGTAATTTATTATTTTGTAAGTTTTAGAGGTAAAAAGGTTAGTTAATTGAATTTTATCTGAAGAATGTATGAATTTATTAATTTTTATCTTTGTTATTGTTTTACTTATTGTGTTATGTCATGGTCACCAAAAGTCTCAGGCTTTTTGAATTTCTGAAGTTGGCAGGTTTGTCCCAGTTTTCACCATGGGAAATCTAGGATCAGACTTAGATAGAATGAAAAACTTTCTGTGAGCACAAATTCACTGTTAAAAAATTTCTGCGAACTATTTATTGACTCTTGTCACCACTTTTAACCCTTTCATCGCCTCTTAATTTTGACAAAATTTGCTTGAAAGCCACTTTTTTTTTTAATGTGTTTTAATCTTTACTAAATTCCATACTGATTATTATGTATAAAAGCATGCATTAACTATTAGCTTATACAGTAGGGAACCGATTATCCGGAACGATCGGGACCATCGCTATTCCGGATAACTGATTTTTACGGTTTTCTGAATAGCTGCAAAAAGCTGGTTTTTTTATTGTTAAACACAACTAAAAAAAAACTTTTTGGAAATAATCTTAAAAAGAAGAAAAAACGATGAAGTAATACACTAATGATTATTTCCGAAATGATGGTAAGGTAAACATCTTTCAAAAAAGAAAGAAAAATACTAAAATCTTATGAGGAAAAAAAAATTTCTTGAAAAAAATGGCGTGAAAATTTATCGAATATCATTCCGGTTTTTTGGTTTTCCGGTTTTCTGATTTCCGGATAACGGGTTTTGTACTGTATTATATACATAAAAAATCATAATATATATGAATAGTTAATCAGAAATTTCAACATTTAATTAATTAACAATAGAGTAAATACTAACTGAAAAACTGCTTATCTAAAAGGAAGTGTTTTGGAGGTTGTATGCAAAGCGTACCTGGGTCTGTCGGACTCACACAGTAATCAGGGGAAAATGATGACCCCAGATAATTATCACCATATGTTTTCCAAAATAAATTAATTATTTTTAATAAATAAATGTCAGTATTGTCGTAGGATTGTTAATATAATAAGGATGAAACCCATATTTATCAGCAATAATCATAAATTCAATTGACACTGTTAAAATTTGACTTCATACTTACTAAATTGTTCTAGAGATCAATAATTGAGACATAACACGCATAAATGATTAAGGGGTCTAGGCGTTTCTGATATCCTCAAGAAAGCATTATTAAAAAAATTTTAATTTTCTAAAACTCACTAAAATTTATGAATTAGTTAATGATTAAGTCCTGATTTCGAATATTTTACAGGTGTTAAGTCCAGACGGTTTAAATGCAAACACTTCTGTGAAATAGAAATTTTTATAATTTAACTTACTTTAAGGTTAAAATTTGTTAGGAAAAAAAAAAGACATTCAGTATGCACGATAAAAGTCATAAAAATCGACAACTATTAATAAACCAGTAAACCATCCTATATGCCCTTTTTAAAACTATACAAGCTCAGAGGAATTGAAATATGAAAAGCATATTTTCAAATAAAAAAAACTTAATTTTCTAGATTTTTTAAAAAAAATATTTATTTTGACTGAAATATTTTTTAGCAATATGCAAGTGCTACAGTTTGAATTTTCATTACACTCAAATCAGTTTTAACTTGATTGATTTATTAGATGTTGAGTAATCTCTCATACCAGATGAAACAATTTAAATTGAGACAAAACTTGGCATAAATAACTTTTAAACAAAATACTTGAATTGGCCGATAATTGCAGTTTAAAAAATTGGTGCATTTTTTCTGTTTTTAGTATTTTTGATGTAATTTTGCAAGCTTTATTAGTTTCATTCATCTTATATCAAAATGCTCAGAATAAAACAGCTCATGACATATTTTTTTTTTTTAAGAAATTGAGTACTTTGTTTGGAAAAATCCTCTAGACCCCTTAAATATTTTTCTTTCCAGTTAAAAGAATTTAAGTATTTATAACTTAAAAGTATTTATAACATATTTATTGTGTCAATGCATAGGTTTCCTGCTAATAGGTATTCAAAACTCTACAATGGCTCATAATTCCATTTCTAGAATAACAAAACTCTATGATGTTTAACATTTTCTTACTAATAAAAAAAAAAAAAAAACACCTAGGTATATGAAATTTAACAATGGCTTATTATGTCAATTTATGAATATCAAGAAAATAAAAAAATTTCTCATAAAAAAATAAGTTAATAAGATTTAACAATGACTTATTATTCCATTTCAATCTACATTCAGAGGACCTAAATTCTATATTTATGAAGTAGAACGAAAAATTTTCTCAAGAACAATCTATGTAGATAAGACATGGTTCATTAATCCATTTAAAGAACACAAAAGGAACATTCTGATGTTCAAAAAATGTTTGAGAGTAACAAAGAAACACTATGCAATGTTTAGGAGAAATTCTCTTATAAAAAAATAATTAAAAAACTGATCCATTGTTGCAAATAATATAAACTTACTATTCTCCAAGTCAAGCTTTGATTCCAAAAACTAGCACCCTCTTCTAAACTGAAAAGCACACCACCTAAATGAAGAGTACACAATATTAATTTTGTTTGCAAATATATTTTTAAAAATTACAAAATATAAAGTTTCTCAAATGAATAGGCTAGGAAAATTATTTATTCTTAATTCCTCAGCTATCCACAAATGCTACTATTATAATGGTAGGAAATTATAAAGATACAATTTTGCAACAAAATTTCAGTGTTGAACATTATAAGGATTGAGAATTACACGTAAGACTGAAAAACTTTGGGAAAGTGATAAAACAGATGGATAGAACCCAAATGCAAAATTAGGTATACCCAAAGTAATTTTTTACTTAATGTGTTCTAATTTGTTTCAATTTTTTTAGTGCTTCTCGCCCTATTGTATTGATATATTTTGCTTTGGCTATATTAATACAATATTAGAAAGCACTTCTTTTTGCGGATATAATTATGTCAGCTGATGAAGAAATAATATCTTTTCATTTTTTTGTTTTCCGGCTCTTAATATACATTTTTTTAAAATATATTTTTTAAAATACTTTATTTTAAGAATTTTTCTTCTCTTTTCATTAATCTTATTATTTTCCATGTTTTCTCGATATTATTTATTACTCGATATTTCTTATTTTATGAGTTCTTTATACTTGCAGTTTATACACAGTAAATAAAACTTAATAATTTTCTTTGTTTTTCTCTTTTTATCCTTTTTGCCTTTATTGTGTTATGTATATGTATATA